TGCTTACAGAACATATAGAGGCTATAAGCAACATAGGAAGTGTCCAAGGTAACGGCAGTAACATTGATAAGAAGTTAAAGTAATGTAACAAAGGTTATTGATTATCATGATGAAATAAAAACAACAACCAACACTGATGGAAACATTCATTTGAAAAAGTTAATTCATCTTTTCCTTTTGAACTTACTTTAGAACTTGAGAATAGAAGATTCACACCTGAAGCATTTAGCTAATATTTATTTTTATAATCATATTTTTCATATTTCTAAGATACATTCCTGCTGAACTTGGTGTGTTTTATGTTTTAAGTTAATTTTTGTCACAAAATGTTGAATAAGATGAAATTTTATATTGTGACCTTTTCCACTGCAGCGCCAACTTTTGTTTGCTTTTCAAAATAAGAGATGAAAACACTGATTCTCCAAATACAACATACTGTATTATGTGTATTATTATACCTATGTATTATATAGGCTATATGACAATAAATAACTTGGGAAATTAACTTGTGTTTTGTATGTATTATGTGCTGTCCGGTACTGTATGTGTGTGTGTGCGTGTGTGTGTGTGTGTGTGTGTGTAGTTACTACTCTACCATCTACACACACACACACACTGCAAAAGCAGAAGGGGAAAAGTGGACATGCATGGTTTTAGTTTCAGATGTTTAGCAGTCATTTACGTTGTGTGTGTGTGTGTGTGTGTGTGTGTGTGTGTGTGTGTGTGTGTGTGTGTGTGTGTGTGTGTGTGTGTGTGTGTGTGTGTGTGTGTGTGTTATGTGATTAAATAATACATGACATATACAGATTAGATGAAAACAAAACGACCAATTCGGACTCAGAATCAAAACCCTGAAGCGTCATCATCATCATCATCATCAGTTTTATTATTTACTATCACATTATTACATTTTGCACAATTAAAAAAAATAAAAGCATTGATGTCTGAAAGAGTCTTCACATCTGGATTTGGCGAAAAATCATAAATGAGGTCATCAGAAATCACAGGAAGCAGCTTTTGCTCTTTAATCCTTCAGATTAGATTCTTCTCCCTCTGATGGACGCTGCATTAAAACCGCCATTTACATTTTTTTTTCTTCTTCTTCGCTGCTGCAAACAAGGAGTCAATATCTCATTCAGAGCTGCAACCCCGCGTGTGCGCTCCATCCATTATCATTTACCAACAAGTGATCACGTTTACCCGGTGATTAAACAGCAGATTTGGGGGGCGAGTGTAAATGCAGGATGAATAATGTTGCACTGTATTTTTTCGCCTCTGCAGCAGCAGGATGTTTGCAGGCCTCTGGGCCAGCATGCACTGCACGTCCATGGCTGCAGAAAACACCACGCCTCTGCTTATTTTTATTATTTTTATTTTCCTCTTTTAAAATATGAATTTATGAATCTTGACGTGTCACTCTTCCTTTCCAGGCTGGAAAACCAATTATCTCCCTTCCTTTTTTTTCCAATATCAACACCAGCAAATGCATTTCCCGCCTCTGCTTTGGCTTATTCTGTTTATTTTGCAGCACATGCATGGTCATTTTAAGGTCACAGCGATGCCCTCTGACCCTTGACCTCCTCGCTATTGGCTTGTTGTAATATTGGCGATGCAGGATTTGATGCAGCCATACACGTCCCTCAGGATGAGCGCATCAGCTAAATGGTTAAAATCTGAACACGCTCGATATTGGCTTCAGATTAAAAGCTTATTCTACACCCACCGAACCTGAAGTCACTTTGGATAAGAGCTCCAGCTAAATGGCTAAAATATGAGTATTGCTCGGTATATTTATTGCCTGTATTGGTAATAGGGGGTTGAGGCTGCTGCTGTTACTCTCACTGTAAGTCCCTCTGAGAGCATCAGCTAAATGGCTGAAATGTAAATGTTTTGGCTGTAATGTTGCTGATCCTGCTGCTGCTGCTGCTGCTGCTGCTCTCAGTGAGGAGAGTGACTCTGGATGAGAGAGCATCAGCTAAATCCTTAAAATGGAAATTGTCTTGAGCTGCTACTGGAAGCTTGAACGCATCAGTCCAGTGGATGTAATGTAAATATATTTTTCATCGTAACTGCTCATTACGCAGGACTGAAAGATTACTCCAACATTTAGTGTTTGAGACTGGTGTTGACAAACCCAAACCCCTGAACATCCCGCCGGGTGTCAGCTTCCCCTCCAGGCCCCGCAGTGTAAAAAGTTGGGGGGCCTTGCAGCTCGGATGTCAGCCGAGCCTTCTCGGGTTTTCAAGCCACAGAAGGTGAACTTTCACCCCGACCTCCTTTTATTTTCGCTCTGTAGCCGTTGACCATTTTTTTTTTACCTCCAGCTACTCGCCATCCACATACACGCATCCCTCCGTGCTAGGCTGCGCGCAGGGCGGATCGATAGGGCAGCATCTGCTCCGGGAAGCCGGCGGTCCCACACCGCGCACCGCTCCGCTGTTTCCAAACGCCAGAACTGCTCATCTCTGAAAATTAAACTGACAGACAGATATGATTAGTATGCGCTCTGCCTCTCTGCTTCTGTCTCTCTCTGTGTTTCTCTCTGAGGCCGGGGCGCGCGCAAACACGCACGCACGGGCCTTACCATGCAGACTAGATGTATATTTATGCCTCTTATACACACACAGTATGCGCCGACACACATAATGTACACTGGTCTCATGTGAACGCGCATGCAACAGTACAGGCCTTCGTGCACGCACAGTTACGCGCGCTCGTCTCACTTAAATTAGACACAAATTGATGCCTGTGCACACTGCACGTTAAATTTACACAAATCTCTACTCTTGCGCGTGCACACGGGCACACACGCACGCGCCCCCAGCAGGCCCTGGCCTGCAGTGTGTCTGCAGCAGCAGGTCGAGGGTCTTCTGAAAAAAAAAGGGTCGCATTGATCTTGTTGAGGGACTTTCCAGACTCAAGTGTTGGCGGCGGTGTGAGTGAATGGAGCCGCGCGCTGAGTGCTGATTAAGAGCCGGCTAAACACGAGCGTCACTTGACAGCATTTACTCCTGGAAAGTGGGATTTACATTTATCTTAAACCAACAAGAGGAGTCAGAAAATTAAAGGAATACAAACTGCTTCTGGATTATTTGGTGCTGAATAGGAAGAATAAAAATCCAGGATGTGGCCTGGTGTGAAGATGGCGCACAGCAGAGTGTAAATGGATTTTTTTTTCTGTAGTCGATAAGTTAGTGAGGCGATTCACATAATAGCATATTCACCCTTAATTCGTTTTTTTAATAATCTCAGCCACCCCTGCACTGATATAAAAAATTAGACAGGTAATAAGAGTAAAAGATATTATTAAAATTTGCCAAAAAATAAAAGTCATAACAGAAAAAAAATGAAATTCCCATTCAGTCTCCATGTTATAGATAATTTCATCCCCGTGACAATAGCAGCAGAAGCGTCATGTGTCATAAAGAAGAGCAGAAACGACATTAGCTGCAGTCTGTGTGAAAACCCATTGATCAGATACAATAAACGGCCCAGCGCAGCACAATGACCTGGATGTGTGCACATAATTCATAAGTTGTGCATGCAATCAGCTAAAGAAGGCTTAACCTGTGGGGTTATGAGAAAGGGAGCATCTCCACCTACACACCTCCCCCCTCCCAGTCCACCCCCTACCCTCCAGCCCCCCAGCCCCACCCCCGGAGAGAAAGGGTTAATTGGAGTAGGAATTTCATCGCACATCTGTCAGATTTTTAAGGCCGTGACGCACTGAAAGCAGAGAGTCAATGTGAGCAAAGGGGGAGGAGGAGGAGGAGGAGGAGAATGAGAAAGAGTTGGTGGTGAGATCGATGAAGTGGCAGGCAGAGGGAAGAGGAGGAGGAGGAGGAAAATCTCACGAGATAATGAAAGAAAAAGAGGAGAGCTTGCTAGTGTAGAGCAAAGAAAGAAGAAGAAGGAAAAAAAAAACCGAGGCTAGACCTGGAGATTTTTTAGAGTGGGAAAACAAAGACCGGGAAAAAAGGGGGAACGAAAGCAGCGAGAGAGGTTTCGTGCTGTAACCGCAGATGGTTTTTGCACTCTGGTTTTGGTGAATGTAGCACCCCGGGGCGCAGCGGACCAATTGTGTGAATCTGCAGGGCTGCTTCGGCGACACAATCGGGAGAGATGCACAGGAGGGACAACAGCCGCGGACGCGCTCTGAGAAGTGGATGTTAAAGGTAGGATTTTTCTGGAGCTCTGTAAACCTTCACACGTCGGTGATCTTGTCTTTGAATCGCCATCATTTTTTTTTTTTTTTTTTTTTTTTTTTTTTTTTTTTTTTAGTTAACGCATCGTTCAGATTCATTACATGTGATGTAAATATGCAAACGCACCGGTAATGTGCAGCGCTTCGCATGCGCGCTGCTCCCCTTGCGTTTATAACTTTGCATAAGAAGAAAAGAAATGTGATTCCAAAGATGAGATTTGGTTGAAGTGATCAAAACATCGATATCGGTGTTTTCTCTCGTGCGTTCCGCGGGATGTCTGAGGTAAAAGAAATGACTCATATGCTTCTATTATTGTCACTGTTTTGGAAACACGAGTGTCTAATACTGATGAGACGAACGTTATTCGTCTGTTTTCCTTCTCTGATGCGATGAAAGTTTGAATACAGCGAGTAGTAACAGCGCCTGTCTTGTCTCACGCAGGCACAAAAGCGAGGCTTCTGCCGAGGAACACAGCTGAGCACCGAAGAGAGCAGAGTGCTGATGCAGGAGCGAGAATAAAAAAATAAAAAAAATCACAGTAAAAGCTCCCGATGCTGTTGCGACCTCGTTTCCTGGGAGTTTGAGGGAGTTTGAAGACAGTACTTAACGTTATCAGATAATTAATTAGACATCCCATAAGCCCGGAAATCAATTAATTCACAAATCAATAAATCCATAGTCTGGTGTAACAAGAGACCTTCCAGACTGTTAGCCCGGCTGCTGAGCAACAACAACAAGAGAAGAGCAACAACACAACAGGGGCGAGAGATACGCATTTATTTGCTGAAACTGAAGATGGATGGGAGTCTAGGGGAGATGTCCCTCCACAGTCACTCAGATCTGGCTCACAGCCAGGACGGCAGGGCCATGCTGCACTCCCGGGACCTCTCAGCTGCTTTCCCCAGGCCTTCCCTCGGGGGCTCCTCCATGTCTCTGGAGCCGGAACCTCGTCCACCGGGCTTCGACCACTCCATGTCGGCGCTGGGCTACAGCGGCGACTCCCCGTCCAGCTCTGGCAGCACCTACACCACCCTGACCCCACTGCAGCCCTTTGACGACAAGTTCCACCACCACCACCATCACCACCACCCCTGCCTGCCTGTCAGCAACGTCATTGGCAGCTTCACCCTCATGCGCGAGGACCGAGGCCTCAGCACCAACTTCTACAACCCCTATGGCAAGGACCTCGCCATGTCCCAAAGCCTGTCGCCCCCCTCCACAGGTTCAGGCCTGGGCTCCTCCATGCACGGCTATGGCAGCCTGGGTAACAGTCCCAATGGCAACGGTGGCCAGATGCTCCATGGTGGCTACGACGTCCATGGGGGGAGCTTGTTCTGCCGGACATCGGATTTTGGCCGCGAGATGTCGCCACCGGGCCTAGGAGGAGGCGAGGTGTCAGTGGGGCATCAGTTGAATAAAATGGAGGCTCACCAGCATGCCGCGGGCCACCACCCTCACATCTACAGCCAGCACTACCAGCCCCACCATCACCCGAGCCAGCAGGCCTCCAAGATGGGTGAGCACCTGCACTCAACGTCGTCCGCCTCGTCCTCGCCCGGCGAGGGCATGCTGCCGGGCTTGCAGGGCGGAGGCAGCACCGGGGAGGAGATCAATACCAGGGATGTGGCCCAGAGGATCATCACTGAGCTGAAGAGGTACAGCATCCCCCAGGCCATCTTCGCCGAGAGGGTTCTGTGTAGGTCACAGGGCACGCTGTCTGACCTCCTGAGGAACCCCAAGCCCTGGGGCAAGCTCAAGTCCGGCCGCGAGACCTTTAAGAGGATGTCCCGCTGGCTCCAGGAGCCCGAGTTTCAAAGAATGGCCTCGCTCCGGCTGGAGGGTAAGATCTGGCTTTGCTCTCTATCTACCTCTCTCACACACACACACACACACACGCTCACACAGAAACCACTACAACAAAAACACACACACACTATTCCCCTGTTTTCCCCAAACACCTTCCTTCTCTATGTCTTCCAAAAAAAAATTCTTCTCTCCAGCAATCAGTATGCAGCTCAGGTTGAGACATGAGGAAAAGCAAAAGCATCATACTCATGTTTCCCTTCTTCACACCACTGTGATGGTAGCACTGCTTTCAGCCATTGTCTCAACAGCCTGGATAATAGCAACTCATCAGCACATTGAGGACAGTTTGAGCAAGAAAGGGCCATATGTGCCGTTCCTTTGTTTACTTTGCTCCCAAACAGCTCCTATTGATTTGTACAGTAGCTACAATAAAAAAAAAAGCCACAGACATTTGCCCTCCTCTTAAATGAACCATGAAGATCAGCTCGAGCAGCGGTTTGGCAATTTAATCGCTTTTGAGCCCACAAAATAATTTGCGCAGATATGCCATTCTGGAGCAATTGATTAATTCGAGCAGTGATTTATATCTGCTCAGCGCGCGGCTGAAGTTGAGTTGGCAAAGGTAGCTGATGCAAATTAGACTTGAGCTTCTGCCAGACGTCTTTTATCAACGTCGTCACCGAGGCAATTACAGCGAGGCTAAATACAAATGTTGTTCTGCTCCGAGGCAGCACCTTGTAGGTTTATGAGATTCTTCATATCGGGGGGGGGGGGCTTGTTTTCTTAACTGGAGGTGCATGTAGTTGTCAGAGATGAATTGATTAGTTGACCGTCAGATAATTAATTCACAACTATTTTGATTCTCAGTTAATAAAATTCACTTATCAAGCAGAAGTGGCAGGTTCAAGCTTGTGAGCGTGTGAGAATTTGCTGCTTTTTCTACGATATCAATGTAAATTTTTTTTATTTAGTTTTTGTAAAATTACAGATTTTATGAACTTAACTTTTAGAATTATTTGTAAAGACAATGAAGAAATGAATCAATATAAAATTTTAAAAAAAATCATGAGTTGCAGGCCTGGTAGTATTCATACAGATTTCATGGGGGAAAAAAATTTTTTTTTTTTTTTTTTTTTTTTTTTTTAAAAAATATTTTTTTTTTTTCTTTTTTTTTGAAAGGCACATTGTAATCTGCTGCTTGACATTTAATATTCTTTGGGGATGTGAGTTGAAGAGACGACAGCACGCTGTACAGTGCCGTGTTACAGTGTTGTACCTCCACAGGGACTGAGGGCCCATCTGATACACGACGCACAGAAAGAGATCCAAGTGAACACAGTAATATGAGATGAGCATATACCAGTGTGTGTGTGTGTGTGTGTGTGTGTGTGTGTGTGTGTGTGTGTGTGTGTGTGTGTGTATCTGCAAGTGGTCTGCTCACTGCGGGGGTCTGTGAGCAGTACGTGTGTGTGAGCCTGTCCAGTTGATCACTGCTTTTCGCTCTCTGTCAGCAGCTCCACTGATTAAGCCCAGCAACACAATAGGGTTCATAGGTAATGATTGTGCACTCTTGCAATCCCTTCACAATTATTGATCTTTGATTGTTTGGCTCCGAGAGCACATGTGTACATCCTCCATTTAGCAAAACGTTACACCAATCACACGCAAACCTCTTATCTGAAAGATGGGTTATCTCTGGGTTCGTTTCTGTAGTTTCCACAGAAACGTCGTGTGATGAATCCAACTCTGTGATTTTGAGACTTTGTATGCAAAACGCCTCTTCCTGTCCCACAAAAAAAAAAAAACTAATCTTCCTCATGATAAAACAGCCCTTTGTTCCTTCAAGCAGATTCCTAATCACCGATCATTCCCTCTTTATTTGCAGCATCCTTGTTTCTTCATCTTTACAAACACAAACATTATTTTAACGAGTCAGTGCTCCGAGTCCGAGCAGCCGATCAATCAGACTCATAAAAAATTAAAGTCCCTACACAGAGAACTGTGCTAATGTTTGACAATGCTCTCTCTCTCTCTCTCTCTCTCTCTCTCTCTCTCTCTCTCTCTCTCTCTCTCTCTCTCTGCTCCCACACACTCTGAAATTGCATATTTAGTTCTTGGCAGAGCCACAATTTGGACATCTCGGCACTTTTCTACATAACCTACTTTCCAAAGGGGGTTGTTGTTTTTTTTTTTTTTCCTTCCCCCCTGGCCAACCCCCTTTTGTTTAATTACAAGCCTCTATTGATTTCCATGGGAAAGAGCAGCACGCCTTGCCCACACACACCTCGGCCGCATCGGCGAATCGAGACTGGAATTAGAATGTGCTGTGCCCTGTGCTCCCCAGTCTGAAGATAGCTCAAGTGCTCTCTGCTTCACGCCTCAAGTTTTAAGATGATCCTCTTTAATGCAACACTCGCTTAAATACATAGAAGGCCCTTCGGTGTCAACCAGCAGCAGCGCCATGTTATTTCCATAACTACGTCTCTTATATATGGAGGGCTGCAGAGCTGTGGACGCTCTGTCATTATGGAGCGTAGTTGCTGCCATTTTGTCTTTTTCAAATAATTGTCTTTCTGCAGAGACATTTTTGCTAAACACGGAGGAGGTGATCTCTTGGATTTATCCGCAGTATCGTTTTTTTTTTTCTGTGTGTGTGTGTGTGTGTGTGTGTAAGTGTGTGTGTGTATGCTCTATGGATTACCGCACTGTATATGAGATGCATCTCCAGCCCAACCTCAGGCTGTGGAGGAGGCAATCAGGATTTAGGTGGAGAAGAAGGCAGGATAAAGACGATACAGCCATGCTCCGACACTTAAAGTCGAGGGGGGGGGTGTAGGGATCAGAGACTATAACTTTAAAGATGATGGCCGAAGCCCTTGACTAAAGGTCTAAATGAATAAGAAAGGTCAATGCGGTTTACGTGTCGGCTCCAGTGCCTGCACCACCCCCACAGTAATGAAAGCCACAAAGCCCTGTCCACCTCTCGCTGCATACAGTTCACATTCGGCCAGCGAGGCTCAAAGGTCAAAGCGGATTCCATTTACATATCAGGAATTGGTAAACAGGCCGACGTGGCCTTAGCCGCACCAAACAAACAGGGTTGTCGTTTTTGTTTTGTTTTTTGTTTATTGTTTTGTTGTTTTTTTTTGTTTTTTATTTGCTTTTTGTTTTTTTTTTTATCTGGCTCTTGCAGCTCCCCCCACTCCGGCGCTGAAGGGGTTAACCAGCCTCTGTGGGTCGAGTAGTCTGAGCTGCACAGATTTAATCAATAATTTCTATCAGCCCCTGGCCCAAGAAATCAGCAGGGGGTGGGCTGGGGCTGGGAAGGGGGGGGGCAGGGAGGGAGGGGTGGTGGGTGAGGGGGGCTCTGCTTGGCGTGATGGTGGAGGGGGGTAAGTGGGGGGAGGGGGGGGGGGTAGGTTGGGACGCCGGGGGGTAGGGAAAGGGCTTTCGATCACGTTTCAGCAACACGAGACAGGGGCGTACATCATGATTAGGGGCTGTTCCCACGATCATAAGAAGCCTATAGGGGAATATTTATGTCTCCAGGAGTAGCCCCAGCACCGGGGATTTATAGCATGGTAATTGTGAGCCTTTTACACATGATTACAGCATAAGGAAGCATTTACTTAATGGTCGGCGTTATGATCGTCAGTAAGGGAGAGAGAGAGCCGGGGACGGGATGGAGGCGAGCAGGAGGAGGAGGAGGAGGAGACCTGCAGGACACCCCGACTCCTCCAACAAGCCATAAATCCACGCTACAAGCGAGCTAGCCAGCACTATCATGTCATTCCTTTCATTACTACATGAGCTGAGAGTGCACCACTGTATATACCTTCTATAGCTGCAGCCCACCTCCCAACCCCCAACCCAGAAATATTGATGGAGGGGATGGTGTAACGCCTGTGAAAAATGTAGCATTTGGAGTGTAAAAAAAAAAGAAAATAATAATTTCACTTGTAGTGATATTGACATGCCGCTGACATCTCGGCCTGTTCAGATTTTAATGAGACGTCGTTCGATAACTCTCAGAAATGCAAACGAGCTCTGGATGCCTAAACGCTAACAGGCTCCTGTAATCTCGGGTTGACAAGAGTGCATCCCCGAGTCAAAACATTTCCTTCAGATAATGATTTTAAGGGAGAATGTACGCGGGGATTTCACGTCCACGTTTACTTTAAGTTTCAGAAACTCAGCTGGACGTTAGAGCAGCCAAAGCCAGGCCAGCCCGGGTGCCACGTACACCCACACACACACACACACACACACACACACACACACACGCAGGCTGCGGCTCTGGTGCTGCTGTTGTGATGGCACTCGGGCAGCGAGGTCACACTTATTTCTCAAGCGCTCTGCTAATGAGAGAAAATTTGCCACAGCGAGTTGTGGAGGGAGTGAAGAAGCCGGTCATACAGTAAACATCAGCGGCAGCCCCTCGCTGTGTGAGATGTTTCTCAATAGGAAGATGTAAGCCAATCAATTGATCGTGTCAGTGCTGTCTTGAGAGTAAAAGGCAGCATCTGTGGTTAATTCAATGTATGTTTGTAGCGTGTGTGAGTTGGATTGTGTTTCTCTGTGTGTTTCGGGTGTGTTTTGAGATGTGGGATTTTACTAGCTGATATCTCCATCTAATCAAGTCATTTTTGTCAATAATAGAGTTCCATAAACCTTGTTTTCCTGACACAAGTGAAGAAGTCTGCCAGTGCAGCAACCAGAAAGCAGCTTGCTTCAAGAATCTTTCAGAATAAAGTGCCGTTTTTCTTGATTCTAGTGCTGTGATCTGTCTTGTTTCCAAATAGTTGGCACTTATTTTTATAAATTTGTTGTAAGAATTGGATATGATTTGGAAACAGTTTCTGTTTTGGCACATTTCTTAACTTATTGTGAGAAAATAAGACATAAAACTGGCCCTTTCCTGTGATGTTGTTACAGTGAAGGCTGTTCTCATGCTAAAAATGTCTAATGACTCAGTGTTACCCCCCCCCCCCCCCCACACACACACACACACGTTTTTGTTCTCCTGAAACAGCATGTTAAAGACGATGGATGGATCATAAGTCTGAATTCAGCTCCAAACTAAATAAAAATATTATTATTGCACATTTAAGCCAGGAACAGAAAAAGAAAAAAAAGAAAAGATAACTTCTGCTTTCAATTTGCAGTTCAATATTTAATAAAAGTCCGCTATCGGCACCAGTCGACACCAGGCCTTCATCACTGTGTGTGTGTGTGTGTTTGTGTGTGTGTGTTTATGTGTGTTCTGTTATGTTGTGCACCCATACACCAATGCTTACACTTAGAAACACATTTGATACCATCAGCAAAACAGTCGCTCAGCCGCACAGTGCTGATTGAAACCTCTTAAAAGTGTGCATTTAGGTAATTGCATGACTCCCCAACCCCTCCCCAAATATGTTTTAGTCCACTTAAGGCTTCTAAACACCCTGGGCAATGCCGACTCCGCTTGTTTCACTCACCCCTGACGTAACCCGCCGTTAATAGAAAATAAATTAGTTCCTCCTAAAGTGATTATTACTCACTCACTGCCGCCACATGTAAATGACTTTTATGAGAAACTAATGATGTTGAAGTGTCCACTAAGGGAAAGGGAAGAGGAGGAAGTGGAAGGAGATGGGCAGAGAAAGAGAGAGAGAGTGAGAGAGAGAGAGAGAGAGGAGGGGGGAGGGAGGGGAAGTTGGCTCGGTACACAAAGGCAGAGGTTGGTGTTGTGTTTCCTGTAAATACAGAATTACAGCGTGTTCGGGGTGAAAGGTTCAGCGATAGATATGCAGAGGAACATGCAGCCTGAATTCAAAATGCTCGTCTGATTCTCAAAATGGATCTGAGCTCAGCCCACACACATCAGCCAGTTTTTCTTACTCACTCAACAAAACTGGCTCTCTTTTTTTTTCTTTTTTTTTCATTCGCTGGGTTATTATTATTATTATTATTATTATTTTCTTCTTCTTTTTAAATTTCAGACTTTGTGAGGAAATATAGACGATCTAATTGGGCTGGCTGGCTGCTGCAGCTGCAGTGCTGTTTAACCCAGACCCTGAGTTTTGATTTTTGTGGTTGTAAGAAGGAGTGGCATTAAAAAAGCAAATTACCACAAGACTTCATCACCTCTATTACCACTTAAAAAGTTTGAACATGGCCAACTTTGACATGGAGCTAATACAGCAAGAAATAATGAGATAATGGAATCATGTTTTTATCCTCTGTGGACTACAAGATAAAAAACAGATACAGAAATATATTAAAGAAGACAAAGTGTGTCTAATATGGGGCAACTGATGCTATCAGTTCTTTTTTTAATGCACTTACAAGAAATCAAATTCTAACTTTTCTCTTATGTGTAAGTGAATGAATCTTTAGATGATTCTGGTGTCTGTCTTTCACTTTGCACTTTGACTTATTTTCTCTTGAGCCTCTGAATGTACGTGGAGCAGTAAAAGCCAGAATCCATAAGTGCTGTAATAGATTAGATAGACGTAACTGTTGCAGTGATTACATTATATCAGAACAAGAAGACGGGAGAGAGATTTGGGCTGAAAATGATTACTCTTTGGTTCAGTGGTGCTTTTGTGAAATGAGAAGTCGACTGCACATCTGTTCGTGTCTTTGATTGTTTTTTGGAAGACCATTGTCAAAAGATGACGACAGCAGATTTTTGCACTTTGTCTTTAAGCCAGATCCATGTAGATCCTTAGACTGTTTTTCAAAAGGGGGGGGGGGGGGGGGGTGAAGAGCATAATGAAAACCATGAAGGAAAAACTTTCGAGCTTTGGCCTGGATGTAGTTTTATCTGGATCTGTTTTATCCCTGCAGCCTTACAGCAGCTCACTGGCAATAAGATGTGATAGGCTGAACATCTTGATTCCTTTACTGCACAATGAAGCAAGTTGCTGATTCATCTCTTTTAACTAATCAAAGTTGCTTAGCTAATCTGTTTTCTTTCAACAAATCCACTTTCCCTCGGCTTAATCCATTTGTCCTAGTTAGCCAGCCAGTCTGTTAGCTAACCTGTTTCTCCTTCCCCCTTTTTTTTATTTATTTTTTTTATTTATCTTTTATCCATCTGCCTGCAGCTTGCAAGCGGAAGGAGCAGGAGCAGAGCAAGCTGGAGCGCAACCAGGGCCCAAAGCGCACCAGGCTGGTGTTCACGGACCTGCAGCGGCGCACGCTCATGGCCATCTTCAGGGAGAACCACCGCCCGACCAAAGAGCTGCAGGTCACCATCTCCCAGCAGCTGGGCCTGGAGCTCTCCACCGTCAGCAACTTCTTCATGAACGCCCGCCGACGCAACCTCAACAAGTGGGCGGACGAGGGCCGTCCCTCCTCCACGGGTTCCTCGGGCTCCAGCGTCTCCTCCTCCGCAGTGTCCTGCAGCACGGCGTGATGACGGACCGCCGAGGAGGTGCGGTGGGGAGGGCGCCTGAGGGAGCAAGGGGGCACATAGACTGGTCTAGGCAGAGATCAGCCGTAATAAATGTCCTCCTCGTTATCAGAAGGAGCGACGGAGCCAGCTATTATAGATGATATTATGAAGATGAAGCATTTTCCCAAACCAAAGTCGATCACTCCCTTGAAATGGAAGGGGGGCGATACCCAGAGTGATATGACCGCAGGATGCGAGGTCCTGCTTTGTATAGTCAAGGGTGCAAAGATGATTTGACTCATAGAAGAGTCACACCCTTACATAGACACCATCTCATTGCATTATTTTGATTATGTAGATTAGAGATAATGAGGGTATTACAAATCAGGAGGAAGCATATTTTGGTGTACCTTCAGATCTATAGTCATCTCTCCAAATGTGAAGAATCAAGAGGTGCCGTTTGCTCACACCTGGAGAGCTCCATCGTGTAACTTCTTAATCAGAACTGTTCACCATCATCCAAAGACGTTAATCCTTCCCCCAATGTTCTTATGGTCCTGTTTTTTCCTCAAGAATCAAGGTGAAAGAGGAAGAAGAGGCTTTTTTTTTGTTTTGTTTTTGTTTTTTAACTTAACCATTTTTTTTTTCTGAAGAACCTGATTTCCCTTTCTTAGCATGTGTTTCCATGGTGATGGTTCCCAGGTCTGTGTGGCGTTGTTCCAAGTTTGGAATTATCCGGAGGGTTCTGTGGCGTCCGTGACTCCCAGCTGTCAATCATTCACCATCCAACAGGAGCCTTTCCTGTACTCATGCGAAGACGCTCCCGCCTCGAATGAATCAGAGTTTTCAAGGCGGGGGGGGGAGGAGGGGGGACCGCAGTGCATCTCGCCGTACGCCAGGACAGAATCAATAAACACAAGAAGGACGCAGAAAACAGACTCGTTGGTGCAAACGTCTAAGCTTTAAGACTCTCACTGAGCTTCCAAATGAAAGCTCCACAGCCATTTTTTTTGACTCAAAAATCAAGCCAAAAAAAAACAAAAAAAGAAGAAAAAATGAAAGACAGCCTTTGAACACAAAGGCTCCGCGGGGAAGAGGTAAACCTGACACAATGTATAGTGACATTGTAGTATTTTTTCCACTCATTTCCAAACAACTGTACACACCTCTGCTCCATTATGAAATCTTTTTTTTACAGATGTCTAGAAAAATGGAGGAATGTGATTCTTTCAGCCCTTTTTGTACAGATTTCAAGCACATCGCTCTATTTATAGAAACACATTGGAAGTGCGGGGCAGTTTGTTTCAGCCCTGCTGACGTACAAGGTCATTTTTTGGTCCACAAAGGAACGGCTTTAACATGCCTCCTTATAGCCAATAGTTAAATCAAACCAAGAACGTTTCAAATGCAATTGCTGATCTGATCAACGTATTTATTACTGCATTTGTGTATTTATTGTTTTCCCTTTTTTCTTTCCTCTTTCTATTTATTTGGTTATTTATTTATGCTATCTATATACTGTAAGTATTTATTTAACAATGCTCTGTATGTCTGTGTGAAACTGAAGACTTTTTTCTGATGGGCACTTTTAGCTGTAGAATCCCATCGTAATACCAAAGATTAACATTGCCTCCCTGAATGTACGGCCTGAATCCCTAAACCCTGTACCCGATCCCAACCCGATCCAGCCCGACCCACCCAGTGATGTTACGTATCTCTCTCTATCTTTAAGGCCTGGCCTTTGTTTTTGTTTTTTTATTGTTTTTTTTTTGGTTTTTGGTTTTTTTTTGTAGAATAATGGGGATTTCTTTACTCTTGCAAATGTCTCTGCGGTCAGCTCTTAATGCCAAGGCCAAAGCTTGTTTGAATGTTGTGCTAATATTTATAATTAATAACACTATGAATAATAACAATGAAGATGTGGCATCCCATAGGTTCACAGGTTGCTTGTAAAGTTGTGTTCAGACCAATGCCATCTGGCGGACTGTGTAAAGTGTCTGGGGACCCACTTAAAGCGCCGTCTGAAGGCCCAATTGAGTGTGAGTCCTTCAGGGTCACATGCAAACATGCGTACTGTGTGTCTGCCTGGGGAAATGCATGGTTGTGACCCCCCCCCAACCCCCCCCTCCCATCTCCCTCACCTGCCCCCCCCCTTCCTCCACAGTGCAGTGCAGACAGTCTTGTCTATGTCCAGCTCAGTGTGATCTCACTGTCCTCCACATGCCAAGCCCTTCTGCCAGTTGTCTCAGTTCCATGAGGGTTCATTCCTGGACTTTTGGGGTGTATGGGAGGGGGGGGGTGTTCTTGGGGTATGTTCCTAGGTTTCTGGAGGCATTGGCCCTCTGGTTTGTTCCTCATATTTTGAAGGCCTCTTAGGCTTGCAGGGTTTGTCCGTGGACCTCTTTGTGTCTTGGGGTTTGTTTCTCGTCTTGCAGGAGTCTCTGATTTTGTCACAGGGCTTTTGAGGTTCGTAGGGTTCGTCCAGGGGTTCATTGCTGGTCATCTGGGGTTCTGGGGTCCTCTAAGGTTCTTAGGGTTCCTCCTGCAACTTGCACAGGCATAAATGGCTTTGATTTTCCAACGTTTTGCCTGGTGAACACCTAAATCACCCTCGATCTGATTCTCTGACCCCTGTGTAAATGCTGCCAAAGAGTGGCGAGGCTAGCTTGGTCGTTTTCCACCCTCTCTCTCTCTCTCTCTCTCTCCCTCTCCCTCCGTCTCTTTACCTCTGTCTCTCTTTCTCTGTCTTTAACGTTGGAAGGGGTGGATTGCCGGGCCCCCTTCACAGCGTGCACTTGAAAGACGGGCGGTCATGAAAGAGGCCATCGACTTTTTCGCGGACTTCAAAGGGAAGGCTTTTTTCATCCCGTCTCCTCTCTGGGTATCTGGTCTGGGGTCCGCTCTTGGCCAGACCTGTGGGCTTTAGGGGGCATTCAAAGGGGGCGGGGGGAGATCAGAGAGGAGGCTGAATCATCCAGAATGAGGATAGTGGTAGTGGTGTGTGTGTGTAGGGAGAGAGAGGTGGGAGGGGGGGGTTGTTTGAGGAACAGGAGGTGTTGGAGTAGTGGGGCATGGAGCTGAATTAAACTTTAATGAGCAACAATTGTAAGCATGCTGAGAGCGAGGGGGGGGGCACTGGTGGGGGTGTGCAGTCGAGTCTGTACAGAGGGGAAAAATGAAAAATAAAAGAGCTTGGAGGCTCCTCTGCCGACCCCTGCTCGCTACTGTCATTGTATCAAAGCTGAGGTGACACCTTTCAGGTTTCTCTTTGTCTCTCTGACTGGGAGCCCAAAATGGAGACAGAGCTTTTTGTATTGAGCCACCTTCTGCTCCGTGTCAAGCAGGGAAGCTCCTCTCTTTCTGTACAGAGGAGAGGCGGGAAAGAGGGAGGGGAGGAGTGAATCCATTTGGCTGCTGCAGGTGATCCGCATTGCCATTTTAGCCTGCGGCACCCCCTAGTGGCTCTTCTAGAAACTTGACCCTGAAACAGGGCTGGCAGCCGAGGCCGTTGCAGAGCGGGTCTGAGGGGAGCGTAAATAATGAAATAGCAGAACTGAAAGCTAACGTGTTCTTTCAGAATAAAAGAAAAAAAAAAAGAAAAAAAAAGACCAAAAAAATTTACATTTTTTGATAATGTTTAAACCAAAAAAACAACCAAAGATTGATGGGTAACTGCTGAATCATTATGTATCATGGGTAGTTTTAGCAGTTCCCTATCAGAGCTACCGTAGCACTCAGAGGATTCAAAAAAAGCACCAGTGGGGTTCCGCGTGCTGATTATTTATGTTGCATAAAACAGTATTATGTTGAGCTGGAACTGAGAAACTGACATGAGGCAGTGTCTTCAGATGGAAGTCTTTTGACTCTGTAAACCCCAGTGTCCCCTATCTGTCCCCGCCCCCTCCCCTGTGTGTACATGAAGACTTTACCCATCTACCTCAACTGTGTGAGATGTTGTGTGGCAAAGATATTCCTTAACCAAAGAATCCATCCTGTCAGGGTGTCTGTCTGTCTGTCTATCTATCTTATCTTGTCTGTCCATCCGTCTCTTCTTCATGCCTTTTACTCCAAACCAAATGTGCTGGAATCAATCCGTAACAGGAGCCGAACGCGGCCCCCGTCCAGCCAAAGCTTAAAGTCCAGTATGCTAGTGTCCCATTGATCCATGCTCTGTATATATATAAACAAAATCATTCTCAAGACCAAAAAAGAAGGAGGTGACAATCCAAGCAAGGAGGATCTTGCTGTAATCAACGTTGCCTATTCCTTGTTTTTCCAAAAACTAGAATCATGTGACTTGCTGTAACAGAAAAAGCCCAAAAATCAAAACACTCATCCCAAGATAAAAAACAAAGGTCAGAGGAGACAGAAGCTATTTTTCCACATTTGTAAGCCACCCCTCCCACCCCTGTTTTTTCCGAAATGTTTAGTGTAGTTGAAATACCGTTCGATCCCACTGTTGTAAGTAGGAATTGATGAAATCCATACAAAAAGCTTTAAACGGGGAAGAGCTGAGGGGAATATTATATTTGAGTCAAAGTTTCCTCGGCTCGGACCCGACCCACCATGCTTTATCGTGCCATTCTTGTCCATGTGTTAGACTTACTAATGAATGTGGCTAACCAACCAAAGGCTTTAAAAAAAAAAAAAAGATACACAACACTTTAAACGTCAATCATGGTGGGACATTTTGTATCAACAACTAAAGAAAATCCCTTTGAATACCTCATGTGAAAATTGTTTGTTGTGATGTTGCACTAAAAAAATAAAAATGACTCATTTGTAACCCAACACCGCGCTCTGCTGACTTTATTCTGACCTTGTTGGAGGTGTCAGGTGGGAAGATCTCCGGGTTTTCAAAAGGCCAACACTGACACCAATATTCCCGTAGAGTCCAGTACAGTAATCCAGCACTACCCTTAAAATGGTTTATGTTCATCCTAAGGAAATCACAAGAAACCAGCTCTATGAAAGTTGGTCTTAACCAGCTTCCATACTTTTTTTGCATGACAAATATACAGCATATAGTTATATCTGTATCTGCTTCTTTCTGCACTATGATGTTTTTTAATGAAAATATTCAAACCCTAGACGTGCATTTGTTTTCTCAAAATTGAACACAATTCTAGATATTATGTTCATAATTTTAGTTTTTTTATGATGAAACAAACTTTGTATTTGTTTTATCAGTTTTTGTACGGTTTAAACAAATGAGATGATGTGTCAGTGGAGGAGGAGGTGGATTTTCTTACCTTTAGACATAGCTATCAGTTTCCCGCTGTCTTTATGCTAAGCTAAGACAACTAGCTGCTGCCTGTAGCTTCATATTTTATGGACATATATGAGAGTGGTATCAATATTTTCCTCTCTGCACAATCTTTTCATGATGTTTACCAATTCCTTAGAAGGACTCTTGACTTTTTGGTAAAGTAGTTCAGTGTTTGAGCAAGTCATTCCCCTACTCCTACCCTGCATTTCCTGTCTGTCTCTACTGACTCTATCAAAATAAAGGCATAAAAACAGAGCAAAAGGCTTTTCTCCTTATGCCAGACAATGTCACTGGGCTATAGGCAGCTGGTATATGGTGTACTCAGCACAGGACACAGATATTTACCAGAGACACAGGTATTGATTTTGTTGTTCCCTCTGTCGTAACATGTAAAAGCTAAATTGACCAACAAACCAATTTCCCAAAGAGTCAATGGAATCCTTTCAGACAGTTTTATGGCAGGTTTAACACACAAAGCCGAAGCTGGAGGTGTAAAAAAAAAATCAGCTCTTCACCTCCGCAGAGCTCTGATCTGAATCTACTGAAAGGCCCCGATCAGTAAACTGATATATTGATACGAACATGGCGTGTTTCACCGAGACATCTGTTTCTTTATTGGAGATTCAAATACACACACACAAATACAGTCACATACAAACAAGCACACAGTCTTACAAGACAAAGAAGTTCAGACGTGTAAAGAAAATCCCTCCTCAAGATATATAAGATTACAAAAAACACAGAAAAGATCTTGTGTTAAACTTTAGTATTTAAAGACTTGCCGTCGCCGTTTGTTGGCCTTTGTAGTAAAAACGTTCACATGAAAATGACTCTGTAAAAAATGTACACGGAAGAAAGAAGCGAAGTTCGCTGTGTTACAGATCCAGTTCTCCGTGCAGCTACATGATGGGGTAGCAGGGGTACATAGCGATGCCACACTGATTGTTATTGTTCCGCGACATCCGGATGTAGCCCTGGTCTCCGAAAGTAGTTCCCCAGCTGGACGAAGAGAACGGAGAAGAGCAATACCATTAAACAGGCTCAGAGCAAGGTTAGTGGAATATTGAATTATCATGTGATGAAGGTATAAAACAGAAACGTGCCGGAGGTCAATCAGTGAGTTGAATATTGCAATATTTACCACCATTTTAAAAAAACAAACAATATATATATTTTTTTTCAGTTTTGCAGTTTGCATGTTAATGGTTGTGATCAGGATGTGATCTGATCTCAGTGAGGATAACAGGAACACATTTTAATAACAGGTGTAAACGGGGAGTTTGGCGAAACTGCTAACAGCTCAAAAACACCTGAAATATGACGAGGAGCCTAAAAGATCAGCCAAAAAAGGTTTAAGCTTATCATAAGTAAAAGTAACCACTGACTACAGCTGTAAAATCAATGTAGCGGAGTAAAAAGTACATCATATATCTCCCTCTGAAATAGGAATAAAAGTAGAACGTTACATAAAATTAAAATACCTCAGCACAATACAAGAACTACGGTGTGTGTGGAGACAAACGAGGACTGAGGACAACAACAGCCCTGATGAAGTCACCGGTGGAAAATGGAGAAGTTGTGGCAGTTTTTTATGCGATAAATGCTGAGAAATGCAACTTCTTCTTCTCCATTACACACACACACACACACACACACACACGTAACTTTGGTCGACTGACTCGGACCAAACCTGCAGGCTGACTTCTTCGCGGCTTGAGAGGCAGACATCACTGCGGTCATGTCAGCAGACACGACCAAACCTCAAACAGAATGTAACATTAGGTTTTTACTTGCTGACTGTTCGCTTCCCTGCAGAGCCCTGACCTCCCTGTTTCTCTTCCTCTCTGTCCTCCACGATGAACCACAGAGGAGGAACATATAGCACCTATACATGTGCTCAGTTTGTCTGTATGTGTGTATGGACCACACCGGGGGGTGTAGGGGAGATCGGGGCAGCGGAAAGGTCTCACCTGTTCTTTACCAGCCAGTAGTCTTGTCCTTCCAGCGTGCCGTAGCCCACAGTTAACACCGCGTGGTTCACTTTTTGGGAGCAGGATGGGTCATTGTACACTCCTGAAACAATGATAATAACAAATGCATCTCTTTATATCCATTTTTTAATGAATAAGATTTTTAGACACATGTAAGTCAGGAAGTTTGCGTCTAATTTTTTTTACACTTGTTGCCTATATTCTGATTTTCTGACGGTTTGAAAAAAGTTGTATTATTATAATTACTGGGATGTGTATATAGACAAATAAAGCCAGCAAATCACTCTAATTGCAGCTGATGATGTGTCACCCACCGCTCCTGTAGAAAGTAAATCTGGGCCGCGTGGCGTCAATCCCCACTGAAATGGGTCCGATGGTGCCGACCGCCTGTTTCAGAGCCCCCTCGTCTCCTTGACGCAGGAAGTTGTACTGGGAGCAGTTGGCGGCGCGGTACGTGGGGTTGTAGCGGCACTGCTGCTGCTGCAGAGAGAGGACAACCAAACGAAGGGTTAAAACTGATGATTTACACCCAGTGCTTTTCATTTCCTAGTAGGAAAGCAAAAAAGAAAAAAAAATAGTGGCTTAAATTGTTCTTTGTGGTTTTGTTGTGTAGGATATATAAAGTTTGCCTGAGGCATAATTGAACTAACTGAAGTTGGGGCCCCACGACCACCAGGGGGCCCTGACCAAACAAGATATGAACTCTATTTGGCCTCGACTGCTTAAGTTGTTTGTGCTTTAACAAATTTATGACACATTGTGGGAGAGCTGTAACCAATTTAGGAATTTGAGGTGAAAACAACAAATTCACAGGAGGGGAAATTTAACACCAGGCTGAAAGAGTTTGTTGGGACCAGCTCTCAAACGTCGTCAAACAGGCTCCTTATTGGCTCCCTGGTACACCCCCACTCTTTAGATGGGTACAGCATCAGCAGGTGTGAGCTCACAAACGTTACAATAACAATGATATTTTCCTGTTCTTGGCAGGTGAGGCGGAAAGTGGATTTGAGAAAGAGCAGTCACTGCGCTCATTAGGAGAACATTTCACATCACAGAGAGAGTTTTTATTTGCTTTTTGGGTTGAATTAGAGCCACGACACCTCCGCGAGGCTCGAGCAGTCTGTCGGATCCGCTCAGAACTGCCCTCCTCCTCCACACAAACACCGACAACAGCGAACCAGATGAAGCCTGGAGGACAAACACGTTGTCCGCTCCGATTAATTTATTGTTGCTCCAAAGAGACATTAACAGCAGACCACAGACAAGTGAGAAGAGTGTTGCTGTCGGCAGCCTGAAGGGTCGGACTTAACTTCTTGTTGCTGTTCATACTCCCACATTGTTGTCTCACACAGGAATTTGTTAACTGTAAACCTGTCTGTTTGCACTGGATTCCTACATGTTTGCGCTTAAAAAAAAAGAGCATTTTGTTTTAATTTATTGTAAACCGAGATAACAGCTTTCCAAAAGCACAAAAGAAAATCTGTGCTCTGTCCTCGACCCTTCGTCTGTAGGAAAACACCGGCTCATCCACTACAATCACTGAACTGATAGATAACGGTGCCTGTTGGCTGACATGTGCTGACAGTCCACGTCTGAAACAACTGTGCAAACTCTGACAACAACACAGACTGTGCAGTTCCCATGTTACATCACAAAATTACACTCAAGTTGTGACATGCAGATGTAGTTTTCATAGGTATTTTATGCTGTAAAAATAACGTGTAAAGTAAAATACTAAATACTTTCATTTCTACTTCTTTCTGTAGCTGTTTTTAAATGATGGATATTGAGAATTTGACATCTGCTCAGTCAGTGTCGACCCCTTTGTTTCAAAAGACAAACTGTGACTTAATGTTCACGTTGCCTGGACTGTGAACACCTGCAGGTCGTTGTACCTTCCCTGCACACCTGGGGATGATTGCTTTGTCAAAGGAGACTGGATTCTCTCTGTGTGCTGATCAGGGGTCGGTTTCACTGAACAAGATATTTCACACTGGTCTGCAACGTTGGTCCAGTCTTAATTTTCCTCATGGATTAGTCCGATGCAATTAAGAGTGTTTCACAAAAATAAAGACTGACTGATATTAAGCCAAAAAAAACATTACACTTTCCCCCAGGCTAACTCAGGCCTACGACCAATGTTACCATGGTAACAATCAATGTTGTGCTGAATCTCCCAAGTAAAACCTTGTCCTTGTCCAAAAGACAAAATTTTCGACCGGGGTGAACAGGGCTGAGCAGTTGGATGCGGTGACTTTTTTTATTATGAAACAAGACATTTTTTTTTTACTTTGAAAAAAAGTCTTAATTTACCCAGAATTCATTGTACCACAGTCTTAAGATAGTCAAGAACTAAACTGCTTTGTGCAACAGATGAATTTCAACATCTATCTGAGGTCTGACTAGTCAAAGTCTGTCTTTGTGAAAGCAGCCCTTCAACAACATGATCGCTGGCTTGTTTACTTCAATGTCTGTGCCAAAGAAATGAACTGGAAACTGAGGCACTTCCTCGTTGTGACTTTGTGTTATCATTTCTTGCTTGGTGTGATGATGATTTCAAATCAAACTGCCCCAGAGGTCATCAACATGGCTGAGAGAAATGTTGAGTAGTTCACAGATTCATAAATATATGTATATTAGGACTGAGCTGCTGCTTTTTTGTTTTTAACTATTTATTTTTTCCCAGCTGCAAGCACGAAGTGATCACAGTCATTTCCCACGACATGTCCTTTCCAGACTTTACAGAGTCCCTGAACTCACCTTCCCTGCGTAGGGGTACGAAGCGTCGGAGTCGATGCCCTGGTTGTCGATGACGTACTGGAAGGCTCTGTGCATGTAGCCTCCGTTGCAGCCGTGGTTGCCGTATTTGCCGGAACAGTCCACCAGGTTCTGGGGGCTGAGGTCCACCAGCTTCCCTGTTTTCTTGGCTAGCTGGCCCTCGAGGGCCCCCGCCGCACTGAAGGCCCAGCAAGAGCCACAGGCACCCTGGATTTAAATGAGTGGTGTTACTGTGATGTCATACACACTCTAAACACCTCTCTACACTATTAGACAACATATATCACATAACAATACACACACACACACACACACAGTCACTGATTGTTTGGTGGATCTACATTAAATCAGAACTGACTGAAATATTCAAATTCAACAGTGTTTTTGCAGCTGCAGAATTACATCAAATGGAAATATTCTAAATGTCTCGTGCATCTTTTTCCACACATTTCCACACTTGGCAGCGCAATACGAGCGTGTGAAGAAGGAGCCAGTGGAGGGTCCAGCAGAGTGTGAGAGGTTAAAGAACTCCACACACTCTTTGGGAAATTTTCCTGTTTGTCAATTATATTTAACACATTGCACGGAACAGAAGGAATGCCAGAATCAATACTGGTGTGTCTCTGGTTGAATGATACTCATCTGCACAACACGAGCTGGTAATAAGTTCAGTCTGTATGTCAGATTTTTTTTTCCCACTTCTTCGCTTTGTAAATCAAATGAAACAAGAAAAATTCTTTAAGTAGTGAACATTTCTTATTGACTTTTCATGGCAAGATAAATATGTTTTACTCAGCTTTTTACATAGAAGACATATTACAGAACATATTACAAACAAACCAAACAGGTAATTTATTCTATGATCTTATTACCACTGGGTGACTTCAGGGGTGAGATTTTGTGGAAAAAATAAATAGTAACGAAAGCAGTTGTATAATTTTGCTAAAAATGTGTTTATTAAAATCAAAAATATAGAAATTAGGGTTAAAATGAAATATTCTTTGTATTTCTGGTTGATAGATTCATATAAATTCTTGTATTCCTTCCATTACACATATCATGTTGTTTTTGTTGTTTATTTTCTGTCTTTATTTATGGTGACATCTAAAGAGTCTGGGTGCATCAAAGCCTCCGTGCAAGTGTTAAATATTTCACATATTTTTACATTTCTAATGTTTTTATTTTTATTTTGAGTAATTTCTCTGCATGTGTTTGTTGCTTGTTTGGTTCTTTTATTCTTCTGAAGTACTTTGTAATCTCTGGTTTTGAAACTTTATTAATATTAATATAATGAAAGACATACCATATGTACATCAGAGTAAAACATGATAAATAAACATATAAACATGCATAAAAACATGAAAATCTACTAATAAGACATGATACACAATAATTACATCGTATAAATGTGTATATGAACTTTAACACTAATCATTTTCAGGAGGTATTTGTTGCCAAATGTACAAAATAAAAACATACACACTGAAAACTCCTGTTTCCATGAGTGATTTATCAAATCCACTAATTTAACACTATTTTCTATTAAAAAAAGTGGATGTAGAAATAGTGATGAGGTCATTCTAACAGCTCTGATATTGAATTAAAACTAACAGCTGTTGAATGTGAGCTGGACTCTCTGGTGTTAATGCGTGCGAGGTGGTGTCCTCACAGTGGATGTGGCAAAAACCTTTCAAAACTGGTGCTTGTGGTGACGACTTCCTGTGTGTACAGCAACGGACTCGGTGAATAAGGAACAGGATGAATGTTGGAAACTGGACACGTGCGTTGTTGAAAGTTTAGGCTGCATCACTGTGGCATTAAACTGCTCAGCTTTCACCATCAGGACTGATTATCTCTGCAGTCATTCTGCGTGAAATGAGCCCATGGTGGAAACAGAATCACAAAGTTTTTTTTTTACCTGCATTTTGACGCTGGTTACACAGCCCTTCTCTCTCCAGTCAATGGTGTCTGGTACATCAGCGCCTGAAGCCCCTGTGAAGGGAGATGGCGCCCTCTGGATGCCAGTAGGAGGAGTAAGCGTGGCAAAAGACTGCAGGATCTCCTCTTCTGTCTATAAGGAAGTAGATAACAATGAAGTGGCAGTGCTGACATCAGTATCAAATGAGTCATATTCATCGAGCAGGAAGAAAGAAGTCTTGTTAGATGGGTAAACACTGAAAACAGGAATCTATTATGCAATATCATGGGTGTGTGAAGTCAGAATAAATCTGACTTGTACTTAAATCTGTTACATGGTACAATACCCCTTTGAATTAAAAACATCATGAGGCATAAAAACTTCAAAATGCATCATAGTAAAGTAAGACACGAAATGTCATAAAACTGTCACAGAATAATAAGGGAAAAAATTCATAATATAATGAGTAATAAAAAAATGCCATAGTATAGTAAGGCATAAAATCGTCAAAATACGTCATTCTATAGTAAAGCATAAAAATGTTATGGTAGAGTAAGGATTTAATGTGAAAAAACATCATAGTTTAATAAGGCATAAAAACGTCAAAAAATGTCATAGTATAGTAAGTGATAAAAACGTCCAGAAGCATCATAGTTAAAGTAAGTCAAAAAAACATCATAGTATAGCAAAGCATAAAAATGTCATACACACAGAGGCAGAACAGAAGCAACAGCTTTAACCACTACACCACAGTGCTGCACAGAAAAGCTTCATAGTCTACGTTAATCATGAAAACATCATATTATAGCAAGGCATAAAAACATCATAGTGTAGTAAGGCATCAAAATGTCAAAAAACGTCACAGTAAAGCAAGGCATAAAAACAAGGAATAAAATCGTCATAGTATAGTAAGCCATTACAGTAGAGTGGGGGGGAAGTACTCAGTACCTGGCTCCACTATGTTCATGTACAGCGGGTTTTTAGGGCTTATTTTAAGCTCTGAAAGATTAATATCTGAACACCTGCAACAAACAGCATGAAAGCAGTGAGAGTGAACCAGTAAAGTTGCAGGTTGGACAGTTAACCGATGAGCTGAAACTTGATATAAAGCTCTGAAAAGCCGAAAGGTGCTGCAGATTTAGGTGATAATTCTTGGTAGTTTCATCACAACAAGCTTTACATAGTAGTAGTAGTAATTCCATTTAACAGCTGGGAAGTGTAGTTTTTTTAGTAAACTTAACTTACGTACTTCAACAGGTTGGGAACATTACATCTGTTTGGGACATTTGTGAGGTCCGGTTAGCCGCTAGCTGTTGAGCTTCAAAGTTCAAACTAGTCTTACTGTGTCTGCTCTGCATCCTGCTGACTTTCCACATCAGTCATTAATGAGTCATTTTAAATGAAGCTTAATTATTTTTTCTGTATAAAACAGTTGAGCAAGCAGGCGTCTCACCAGGTCTCCCATGTAGTTCATGCTCAGATCGTAGGTGTGAAGCCCCATCGAGGCCTCCAGGTTGTGCGTGGTAATGAGCATCAGGTTCTTCTCCCACAATTCCCTGCGGCGCACATCCTCCACCTGAACACAAAAGCGTGCAGAAAGAGTGAATGAGGTCAAATACTGTATGAGTTCATGATAAATCTTACATGTGGATTTTTTCGCCTGCAAAATACTCACTTGTTTCAACTGAAGCATTTTAAAAAGAAATGTGTTGCACTACAAATTTTTTAATGACAAACAAATAGAAACTCAAGTAATACCTCATTTTGGTACGTCTTCCCGTGTGTCTTCTTCCACAGTTCCCAGTGGACGTCCAGCCTGCTGTCCAACATGGCCGCTGCCCCGACACACAGGGAGACGAGCAGCAGGCTCCCCAACACCAGGCCTGTGAACACAAACCCACACCTACAGTCAGACTTGAACCACATGAGAAAACAGGATGTCGTCTGACCTTTGATGAGACGGCTGCGTGCTAGTGAACACGCCGAGAGAACAGTCCGCCTGACAGAAATCGAGCCTCGAACTCGGAGTGTTTTTCACTTCATAAAAACCACACAAGCAGAATCAATGTGTCAAAGCCTGGAGGAGTGCTCAGAAGAAAATGTGTTCAGAGGTTGTGTTAAGTGTAGAAAGAAAGACAAAGATGATAGACCTCAACATTTACAGCCACACAAACTTATTTCTTTGCTTTCTTTCCTTTAAGTCAATATAAACTACACCCCAGCAGGTTTGCAAAGCAGAAACCCAACATTGCTTGTTGGGTTTCTGTTTGGAGTCCTCCATGGACTCCATACATGTTGCTTTACAGGGTTAGCTAACATTAGCTTTTTTCATTGGTCAAACATATCAGACATACTACAGTATTTACATGTCTGACAAATATTAAGCCATAAAAACAAGCAGTACAGCACTAAAACAGTTGATTGCAAGAGGAAAAAAACAAAACATCAAGTGTTACTGTATGAGCAGGATGTGGTTTTCAGGTATGTTGTCTCTGCCAGCAGCAACACATCAACACAAAGAGTCGTGGTTCAACTTCTTATAGTCACACGGTTAAAGTTTGGGTAATGTCTTTAGTTGACTCACCACAGAGTAATGCTCATGTGTGAAGATGCATAACAGATGAAAACATGTGTGCAGCTATCAAAGGATGATGTAAAAAAAATGCAATGTAATAAAAATTTCTGCAAAGACCCCTAAAATTAAAATAATCATTATAATCCTTATTGCATTTCACATTTGCATTTTTTTTGTCTTTTCAGTGCATTCCAGGAGACAACCATCATACTTTCTTTGTTTTAGTCAGAAAACCTTTATAAACATGACACAGCAGAAAACAACAGCTAGAAAAACACACATGATAAAAAAACAAAAATGTACATTTAACATGTTGCATGTAATGTGTGCACCACAAACAACATCTGAACATTGTAACTAAACCATGACTACAGTTCTTGTGGTTTGCGTTTATGCAATTCAAAGCCCTTGACAGAAAGACTGCAGTCTTGGCACAGGGTGGTAAGGGTGCAAACAGGTAGGTGCATGTGATGGGAATAAAAATTCAATTACAAAATAAATGTAACTGTAATCTGTTACAGTACAGAAAAAAATGTAATTAAATAAATTACTAATCAAGGGTTGGTAATATTAGAAATATCCATTCTGTTGTTGTCAGCATTGTGTTTCCATTAAATATTAACGCGGAGAGGTCATTAGGTTGTGAAATTTCTACAGAAATCAAATATAATAAATGACAGGATGGTTATTAATCTGTAACCTATTACATTTGCCAACAATAAATCCAAATGTGTTGTGTCTTCACATTATTCATAAGAAACTGGGTCATACAAACATGCTTCAGGTACCAGAAGGGCTCAGTAATTATTTCAGTATTGTTATGGATCCACTTTTATGTGACTCCTATCAATGTTATCATGAACTAACAAATATATTAACATAATAAGATATATGCAGATTGAAAACACCCCGCAGCCCAAGGAGACGTCTTCATGTTGCAGCTTTTGTCCGACCAACAACCCAAAACCCAACAACATTAAAACCATTAAAATGTAAGAGCGAGAAAAGCAGCAACGTCTCATGTATTTTAAAATAACTTCAATGATTAATTGATTATCAAAATAGTTGCAGATTAATTTTGATCAGTTAATTGACAAATAATTGCTAGAAAAATCACAAGGTTCAAGTTCATCAGTCCAATAGTATCTAATACAACAGCCCCATCAGCTGTCACATAATGTTCAGCTGTTGGTGACGCTGTTGATTTAACTCTAGTTATTTTAGAAGCTGTGGTAAGCTCAGGCATCACTTTAGATTCCATTATATTGACATTTTCTGATCACCCAAACGCCTCTTAATCTTCTCTACATCTCTTTATTTTTAGTGCTCATCTGCCGATGATGGTCAGCAGCTACCGGAAGTTTCACTTCCCCAAATTTAAAGCTATCGAACTGCACGTCAAGCCCTAAGTGAGGCAACAGTCACAAGACCCGAAGTGAAACTGATGAACAAGCACCGTCAGCATCAGTTACTGTTTAATCATGTTGTTATGATGGATGTTTTTAGGACAAGCTTGAGAAAAGTGGAAATCTTTTTGCTGCTGGGAAGATAGAGTCGACTTTAATAACCAGCACTGAAGAGAATCTAAATTCAGGCTGGTGAACTCTGGGGTCAGACGCAGTGTGAATGCAGATCTGCCAGCTTCACCTGATCTCCTGGAGGATGATGAAGGACTCAACATCTTCAGATAAAAAGGTTTATAAAATAAGAAAGAGACTTTTAATGTGTTGAGTCCAAACTCAAATCTTAGGTGACAAAAGAGGGCAAAAGAGTCGTTTGCTACTTGCCTCTCTCTAAACAATCGTTTACAACCATGTACCTCAAGTAAACTGAAATCTGTACCTTTTATATATATTTATACATGACCTTTCACCTTTTCACCACCTAAGAAAATGGCCTTGACTGGTTACTTAAGTTTGTACTCACATCAGAAATAGAGTGTTTTAAATCACTGTATAGAGATCACACACAACATGTGCAGCTCAATGATCTTAAATTCCCCAAGAGGAAATAAAATAAACATCAAAGTTATTACAAACCGCCACAGTAACAGTCTACCTCAGTGTAACAGGGTTATATTACGGTTTTATTTTGCCTCAGCTTTGATACTAACACCTGCAAACTTCACACAAAAGACTCTTTGGAAAAAAACGAAAGTAAAAGCTAAATCAGGTTAAAGCTTTTTATCTACGCATCCTTCTTTAATGAATGTCCAAGTATGAACATACGTAGAAGAAGATTTGGAACGAAAGTTTACGAAAGAAAAAGGTTGAACTTGCCTCGTTCAGTCGGACTCATCGCTGCTTCTCTGTTGAAACCTCTACGGCTTTGTTTTCCTGGTTCGTATTTATGAAGAAAATGTCACATGGTCTGAGCCACTTCTTCCTCTTCAGAAACAGAAACCTGCGCCTCGATCACACTCGTGTGTTTGCTGATCACCTGAACTCAGTTTGTGCAACACAGGAGAAACTGAATATATGAGGAAATAAGTGAGAAAAATGCAAGTATTTGTTTATTTATTTGTTTGTCGAGTTTTAGAGGATGAAAGAGGCAAAAATGAAAAGTAGAATAATGACTAGTGTCTGGAGAATATGAGAGAGGGCATGATTTTATATTTACTAAACTAAACACATTAAAACAGATCAAAATTTGACATTAAAAAAAACCCTAAAGCATCAATAGTGCCCCCTAGAGGCTGCAACATGAACGACATCTCATAGAAGATGGAGGAAACAAAGATTTTGCATCAGAAAATATTGTCATTTTTTTTTTCCCAGAAGGTGTAAAAAAAGTAGATGCAAAAACATTTCTGGACGATGGAGGGTGAATATGTTTGGTGAATCTGCTCGTCATATTTGAATATTTCCGGTGTAAAAGTGATATTTTTGTTGGTGTGATGGTGGTGCAGCAGGAAAGGTCAGAGAGGTCACCAACAACGTTAGGATGCATTTTCCGTGGGGGCACAAATGTGAGCTGCTGATGTCTTGGAAATCCAGTCAGTGGCTGTTTGCTGAGACTCGGGACCAAAGTGTAGGTGAAGATGAGGAGGCTGGACGATGAAGGGTCAGGAGGTTATCATATTCGATGGCCGTCTGCCAGATGTTGTTGAGGTCTCTGGACCAAAGTGTTGGATGGATAAACTCAGTCTGCTGTGAATATAAACAGACTGGGTTTGACGACTCTGTGTTATATGGTTATAGCCCCTGACAGGATTATTTTTATACTATACTATATATACTATAGGCTTTGTATCACATGCTTATAATACACTGACATCATGCCACTGCAGACATTGACTGTAGAAAGCATTAGCCTGTATCAGTTGAGAGTCTGTGATCATTTGAGACTAAATAAAGAGAATTGTTCATATACAAAGTTTTTAAATTGTAGGTTTTTTTTCTTCATTATTATTATTTTTCATCTTGTGAATTGACTTTTTTTTTTTTACCTGTTAGCTGATATTTTGTTCCACTGTTGAAACCCATTGAATCTGATAATGTTCATGCTAAATGGTCTTGATAAGGGGGAAAAAACTTCATGTTTCCTTGGTTTATCATTAAAAAAAAAGTCTGTATGATACGTTCAAATTCAAAATGAAACCTTTATTCAATTTCATAGAAAACATCAGTTAACAGTTTAATCATCAGAAAAGTGCTGAACAGAACAACAACAACAACAACAACAAGTTTGACATGATGAAAAGAAAAACTGTGCAGGATTTTAAAGGACTCAGCGTCAACAGGAGAGGAGGAGCTCTCATTGCCCAGCAATGTTTCCTGCCACACTGAATTTAAATTTAAGTCGTTTTCACACACACACACTGTAATTAAAAAACGAGAGACTGAAAGCATCACGGACTATCAGCCAAACACTGGGTCACTGGAGCAGATTTAACTTGGCACGTTGGTAAGTGTTACTAACGCCATGCCCTGGAGGTACTGGGATTGTATGTGTTTCTCTACGGAGCCGACCACAGTGGAAGTCTGCTGCTCTGGAGATAAAACTGAAAAGACTTGAGGGGCTCAAAGTGCTTCAAATTATTCAAGATAACCAAAACGTCCTCAGATGTTATTTAAGGACGCTTGAATCCAAGAGTCCATTTCATTTAACCCTTTCTGATACCAGAGGAGATTCATTCCAAATGACAGTGAGTCCTATTTGAATTTTTAAAAATATGTTTTCACTGAGATTTGGAAGGATCTCTTCTCATGTATCGTAGTCTGAGCAGAGCCCCCGTTGTCCTCCCCTCGTCTCCCTCTGAGCTCCGTACTCTCCGATCTCCTCACACGATGGGGTAGCTGGCGAGGTTGGCGATGCCGCAGAGGTTGCCACGGTTACGTGCCATCAGGATGTAGCCCTTGTTGCCCCAGCTCTCGCTCCAGCTGTCAGGTGGGGGGGGGGGACCAAAGACGGGCGACAGAGATGGGAAGAGAGAGAGAAAGATGTGAGAGCATCGCCAGGAGTCAAACAGCATTTCATGTCATCAGTTTGTCGTCAGACAGACGCCATCACATCAACGCCACGCCGACAGAACAACCCGTCGTTTCATTTCAGTGGTTTTATGAGCCACCTGCTGCCACTCAGACTCAGACAGGTGATGTGTCCCACCTGTTCTTGACGATCCAGAACTTCTTCCCCTTGGTGTTCACTCCGTAGCCCACTGCCAGCACAGCGTGATTGATGTCCTCTTTGTTGCAGTTGCGATCGTAGTAAACACCTGGGCACAAGTACAGAGTGGAAGAGTGAGAGGAGCAACTTGCTGATCATGTCACAGTTTAAAGTAACTGTCAGGTAAAAATTCTCTATGTTGGTGTGTTCAGGTAAGTCTTATGTCCCAACATGAAGGTCTGTTTAAAGCCCTCTCCACACTGAATGCTCATATTTAAAGTTATAACAAGGTTTTTATTAAACCATTTTGGTTTTATGTTTATGCCTCACATGCAGACTTTTGGTAGTTGCTACAACTTACAGATGTTCCTTGAATGCCTCACATGCAAGGGGTCAGCAGCAGTGCACTGTGTAGCGTGTTCATGGGAGGTTTAAGAGGGTTTAAGCATTTTACCTGACGTGTGCCTCTGTGTGTAGTAGATTACGAGGTAGTGATGCGCTACACACACTTCACTATTTACATGAAATAATACGAATCATAACAATGTTGGGACGAGTCAGTGCCTGTTAACAGACGTCTGAGCGCTTCACTGACCTCTCTGGTAGAACTGGAAGCTGCTCTGCGTGGCGTCGATGCCCACGGAAACTGGACCCACTTTAAACAGTGCAACAGCCAGAGCGTGCTCGTCGCCCTCTGGGACTTCTTTGTAGCCTCTGCACTGAGCTGCCATGCCCGATGAGTTGTAGCGGCAGGGCTGGTTCTGCGGTCGAGACAAAAGAGGAGAAGAATGCTGGAAATGTTTGTTTCTGATTTCTGCTGGAAAAGCCAAATAGCGGTGGTACATGAACTTCATCCAGAAATCCTCCATAACTCAGTCGTTCAAATAATTTTTCAAGCAAAAATACCAAACAGTTGATGTTTCCAGGATCTCAAATGTCTTGCATCAAAATAAATTGAATATTTTAGGGTCGTTTGATCAAAATAAGACAGTTGCTCATGGCTCTTTACACTAACCCTTGTGGTTTCACTCTCACATGCACATTGCTCATGTCATGTGCTTGGCTTTAGTACATTCACGGCTTCCCAACAATGGGGAGACAGCAGCCTACAATCATTAACAAGCAGTTCTACTTCCTTCTTTCGCCAGTGCATTAATAAACCGAGTGTGTTTGTTGTCTTTTTAAGGCAATGGAAGAGTTTCTTCCTCATCATTCCTGCTGAATCACCTCAATTCAATCTAATATTTGCTGCCGCTTCACAGTCAAAAGGGAAAAAGGGATATGATGATGCGTGGCACTGTGAGCGTCAAGTGAGGAACCATTTACCACTTTGGTTTCAGTGTGAATCTGCATTTTCTCAAAGTTGTCATCATTTTGATTCTTTTATTTTTTTTATGCAAGACTGTGGGTATCATTTAAAACCAGCGAGTTACAGGAATTTAGAGAGTTGCTAGCAGCTGTTTAGCTTAGCTTAGCATAAAGACTGGGAACAGGGGGAATAGCTGGCCTTTGAACACGTTGGTTTTTGTATGAACAAACAAAGTACAATATGTTAATTAGTAAGCTTCAAAGGTGGAGGTAGGTAGACTTTCTTCCCTTAGGACTACAGTGTTTTGGGGAGTGTGGCTGTTGGAGTTATCAGGATTATCTGCCCTTTGACCCCAGTGTCACACCCTCTTGCACCGTTCATGTTGAGCATCCAGGTGACTGCACAGGTCTATAAGGGCTTAAGTTACAGGGTGGACACTGAGACCAATTCTACTTCTGGTTCCTGGCCCCAGACCAGGGCTTCACATCAACACCAGCAAGAGAACAAGTGTTAAGACGTGACAGGAAAGAAAAACTAAAGCTTCAGAAATGTGGTGAACATCAGTTCCTGCGGACGCTTTCCCGCAGTCACAGGACACATGATAGTTCATTAAGATGACGGCCGCTGAAGGTTATCTCTTAGTAAATGAGTGTCATTGTGACTTTCTCACCTCTCCGACGTACGGGTAGGCCACCTCAGAATCGATGCCTTCGTTTTCCTGGACGTACTTGAAAGCGTTGGTCATGTATCCTCCTCCGCAGCCGTCGTTCTCTGTGACGCAGTCCACCAGGTTCTGAGGACTGAGGTCCACCAGCTGACCTGTCTGCTTGGCCAACTGGCCCTCGAGGGCCCCAGCTGAGCTGAAGGCCCAACAGGAGCCACAGGAGCCCTGTCAGGAGTGAAAGACAGAGAGGAGAGTAAGAGGATTAATGTTGTTTAGCTCAGTTTGATGAAAACAGTGAGAGATTTAAAAAAAAAAAAAGATTAAACAAAAACGTATAAACCTACAAACATATTCCTCCAGGTTCCGACTGTTTCTGATGTGAGTTAAATGTATATAAAGAGTAGAAATACGTGAAATGTGTACGTTACTACCCATCCAGATATTTACCTAAATCACTGCACAATAAAAACCAAGAAGAAAATAGAAGGAAATCAAGTCAGCAGATTGATTTTTAGATTCACAAATCTAAAAAGACGGAGGAAAATTCCAGGACAGCATGTGAACGCCTCGTTAACACCTCATCAACCTACAGGAAATCAAACATATTAAATGGGAAGTGAAAAATAGCAAGATGCAGTTTGTGTCTTCTCCTCTCTGTCCACTGGGGGGCAGACTTTGACAACTTTAACAACAACAATGATGCTACTCTGGGGAGGAAGTTGATGATACATCTTAGATTTAATCCAGTGTGTTAGCAATGAAGTTTTAAAGGTTAATATTGATATTGTTACACTTACATATATGTTTAGCTATGTAATTGTAAGGTGGAAATGCAACATTAACAGCAATAACAGCAGCTCTGGTGTTCGACCATAAATGGACATTGTGTACTTTTGTGTCTCTTTTTGGTTGGTTGCTGTTTTTCATGGTATGGGTGAGGTCCCTCAGTGTTAATGCTACATCATACAGTGATATTATATTTTAATCTGGGACTTAGGATCCCTGTAAGGTGTCACAAGATAACACCTGAGGGGCTGTAAGAAGATTAAGAGAACAGGAAGTATAATCTTTTAAAATTCTGGATAAAGAGAAAGGTGTGACTCTTTAGTTGAACTGGCACAAACATATGTAGCCAGCAACAAAAATGATATACTGATAATAAATGAATACTCTTTTGTTTAAAGGGGTCCCAAGGAGAAAAGGTTGGGAACTACTGTTTTGACAGAGTGGTGTTCGTCCACAGCCGGGTCCACAGAGACATGGTTTTCCCAGTTTGGTCTGGACAAACACCTTTGGGATGAACTGGACTGAAATGTCCAGGGGTCCGTTATGTGATGGAAGCTGTTTACACCATCAAATTTATGCCAGAATCACGTCTCACAATCACATATTGGTGTGATGTTGAGGTAGTGTATTTAGTGACAGGTACACCTCACCCAATCTACCCAGACCGATATTAGCTTTTTGTGCTCCATAAAAAATATATTTCTTGTTATTTAACATCTGATAGAAAGAAATATAAAATCCAAATGTTGGATCCTTGGCCTGTGCGGTCATGATCTCTTTGTCTGAGGCAATAAAACTCAATTACAGACACTGTCTGACTGTAATGTCTCGCCCAGCTTTGAGTTAAAACACCTCCGCTGCTCCTCCTCGAGGAAAACACTCTTGACATTCTGCTGCTCTGAGTTTCTCCAATTAAAAACTTTGTAAATGTGTAATCACTTCAGTTCATCCTGGACGCTCTGAGCATGGCTTTGAGTTCTGGTGGAGCCGAAACAAACAAAACATCAAAAGACAATTCAGTCATCAGAAAAGGAGCTGTGGAGGAAGCAGCAGAGTTGTTAGTATGCACAAAGTGCAGCCAGCCTGCTGAATAATTCATGGCCAACAGGAAGCTGAAGGACAGCTCAATAAATCCTGTTTATAGCTGCAGGTTGGATTTCAGCCACCAGAGGGAGACAACATCCTTCTACATGAAGTCTGAAATCACATCCAGGATTAATCACTATTATTATCATTATGATTATGTTTATTTATTTTTAATAGTAGAAGTAGTAGTAGTAAACATTAGTACTAGCCTATTATTGTATTTATTTACTTTAATCTACTGACACTAAATGTTTATGGAAATAAAAATCATCCTTACACAATGCTGTCTGCTAAATAATTTATATTTTAGCAGGCCTATTTGCAGCACATGATATTGATGTGATAAATATGTTTTAGTTTGCAAAAAACCCTGATATTATAATTATTATTGTTGTTATTGTACAATGATTTTGTATTTACATTGGAATACTACAACAAACCATTGAATTAATGCATAATTAAAATAAGATAAACTAAAAAATCAGCTAAACCAACTAAAATCTACTTTTCTGCAATATGGGGTTATCACCATTTTTAGTTTCATTTTATTTATTTTGTTTTATTTTATTTTTATTCTATTTCATTTTATTTTTTCAGGGTTAATTTTCAAACTACAAAAAACACAATGGCTAAACACATTGAAAAAATATTATTTTGAAATCAAGATATTAACCCTGTGAACCTTCAGTGCTTCACTATCAGCTCTGATGTTTATTAGATAACATAACATCACGGTGTTGCTAATGGGCCTTCGAGCAGAAAGCACAGATGTATGCCATATTTCAGTCTATGTACTTCCTGTCCTGCTCAACCCTCGTTTACATGAATATGGCCCTTCTGTCCGAGCCGCTTGTAATGACTAATTACATTTGATAATCAAACTCATTCCTTTGTTGTCAAAGTCCATTAGAAGGCAGCAGGTCACATGATCGTACTCTCACTGGGAGGGAAAACATAGAGGATGTTTCCAGGTATTTTTCTGAAAGCTTTTATCGTTTCTTTCAAGGCTACGGATAAAAATATCCGCCACATACTCTGAATCTCATTCAGCCATTTCTGAGGTCACATGCTGCTGCAAGGCCACCACTTCCTGAACTTGTCCACTGACACGTATGAGGATTTTATAAGACAACAAGTTACAAGATCTGATGTGACAACAAACGTGCTGTTACATGAAGATTTTTCTCAAGTTCTTATAATAAATACCTGCCAAAAATACCCCACAGAAACCACTGAGATTTCTTTGAGTTTGCTTCTTAACATTTCGCCTGAAAACAGCCTTGGGAACTTTTTCTCTTTCCCCAAAGCCTCAAGAAAATAATATCACATGTCAAAACCCAACAGGAACTAACTTAATATCTTGTATTTCAGTTACCAGGAACACTTATCGGCAGGAATATGACAGTTACAAAAATACAACAACTTCCCCCTGGTGTGATGTGCTGCCTGTTCCTCTTTTGATTAGTATGAACTATGACACAGTAATTTAAATCTGCCCTCTCATGTTCTCCGTGTCTGTTCTCAATGAGTTTTTATGCTCAATGATTTTTTTATCCTGATCATATTGAAAATATTTCTTTTACTCAAACTCACTTTTGTTCTGAATATTTGTTTTGTTTGCTGTCATATGTCCTTTATCTGCAGTGACACATCGTAGTTTCTCTTATGTTGTAGATGCCAAAGGTGTGAGGACAGGACAGAACAGTCTCTCCCCACAGTTTAGTCAACCAACAGGTTCGTCCACTTCCCTGCCCATGAAATGCACGTTTCTTCAGCTACTATGTCGGCTCTAATGTCCTCTTTTATTTCAGCCTGGAATAACTGATGATTTTTGGCCACTTGGGGGCAGCAGAAACAAGATGTGAACACAACATTTACGTATCATCAACCTGATATGACATGTTAGAAAACAGCTGCTCATTTACACATCCAACAGTTACAGAGCAGCATCAGCACTTATTTGGAGTCGTTTCTCTGGCAACCTGGTGAATGTAAGGCCACACCCACACTCAGTTTTGTAGTTTTAAAAAACAGAGACCTTTGGAAATGATGACGTAGACCCACCTACCGTCGCTCTCTGATTGGCTCTCATCAGCCTCGACTACCAGTGAATACAACAAGGATAATGAATTACAAGCATTACTGACCTTGTTGTCTTTGCTAGCAGCTGTGTGTCCAGTTAAATTCTGCATTTTAACTCTATAGCTGTCTTTGCTGTTCCTCTTTCTAGTATTTTCTGCAACTAATCAACTGCAGAGTAGACAATCTGCTTCCTGTTTACACCAGCTTGTGCAAGCCCAGTGTTTGTGAATGGTCATGTATGTATGTGTTTTCAGGTGCAATTGTATGGATGGAGATCATTTCTGAGACGGAGCTAAAATGGTCGTCTGGAGGGAGATTTTCATTTTAAATCGCAGTAAATACGGATTAGTGTGGACGTAGCCTAAGTCCAATATCCCCTCTTTTTTATAGCTCCGTTTTTGGTCTCCACCAGCTCCTGACGGAGGATTTTTAATTCCAAAAAGCAACCGAGTCTTAACATCTTTTTAAACACTGGATGCGCAATAAGCTTGTCTGTTTTTATCTGACCTGGTTCTTCACTGGCGTCACCATCCCCTTCTTGCGGTAGTCGACAGATTTGGGAATCCTGGACACCTTATCATCCAGAGCCATGGTGAAGCTGCGCTCGCGGTTATTGGGGATCTGCAGGCCGGTCATCTTCTCAACCACTTCCTCTGACGTCTGCATGAACAGAGACACAGTTAACGTTACATTTTACATCCTGGCTCAGGTCATTAGGGACGCTGCTGAGCTTCTGTGTTACATACTTCAAAAAAAGAAGAAGTGCAACAGCAGGCTGAGTTTCTAGATCAAACACATAACAAGCAACCGAGAGTGTAGAGGTTAACGGTTCCAGGTTGTATTTTGCTGAAAGTGGATGGTATGAAACTTTCCTTGGTTCCTGGAATAATCCTGTGAGATAAAAAATGTTTTGGGGCAAGAACAAGAGAGGGGGGCAGGGAGGATTTATTTTTAGACTTAAGACAAGGACAAGTAAAAGAAGATATGAGAGAGGGAGGATTTGACTCAGCAGGGTGACGGAGGATGAAAAGTATTTCATGAAGAGATGGGTTTAACACAGTTTACTCCAAAGTGAAATGTCAGTTTTCTGTGTTGTACAAATGTCAAAAAGTGACACAAGGAGAGGTGTAATAGTGAACATGAAAGATTTATAAAACAACAACATGAAAGAGGGAAATGCAGACGAAGGAGGAATTAAAAGAACAGACTTCTCTATTGTTTTCTGGCTGTCACAATGAAACTGCTGCTTATATGACGTGATATAATCTGAATTCCCCAGTGCAGTGTTTTCATCACAGCTCAGCCAGTGAGCAGAAAGATCATTAATGGAAGAAATACGCACCATCTGTTAATTTCTTTCATTTCACTTAAGTGCTTCCAGTAAAACTAAACGAAAATGGAAACTCATCCTTCATTTCCAGCCACCTGTTCCTACATAAACATGAAACTGGCCATTAATCCAGAGTGTGGATACGTGTACGTGCTCCTGTCACTGATAAATAAACTCCCAGCACCAGTGACGCTGCTTTTACACACCCGTTTGGTTGTTACAGGCGGCATCTTCATGTAAAAACAACCGTCAGTCATGACCTGCACTGACATACATATCACTGACTACAGCTGCAACTGATGCAGAAAACAAACATGACAGCAGCTAAAAGCCTGAACTGATGATGGAAAAAAAAACAAAACAAGGGAATATTTGACACTTAGCAGCTGATTTTCAGAGACTTTAACCACAGTCTCTCCAATGAGAATCAAACACGTTTGGTTTCATGTGTACGATGTGAGACACTGAAAATGAAACAACCTCAGTTTATGCTCTGAATGCACCCTGAGCTCATACTGCAGCAATTAGTCTATTTAACTGATTGGCCCATCGACAGAAAATAAATAGGCCACTGCTTTCATAATTCAATAATCGAATTAATAATTTTTTGAGCAGAAATTTGAAACATTAGCTGGTTCCAGCTTCCCTGACGCTTTTCTTCGTTGTGCATGATTGTGAACTGAATCTAAGACATTTGAAAACGTCATCTCGGGTGGGGAGAAATTGAAGCGAGCAGTCGTCACTATTTTCTATAATTCAATAATGAAAACAATTGTTAGTTGAGTTTTTGTTTGGAAAACAGGTACAGAAGATGTATCCTCAGGCTACTTGTCGTGGCAGTTGGTAATTTTTTACTTCATTAACCTGAGACAGCTGCCTCAGTGTTGGCACCACAGCAGCTGGGCTGAGTGAAGCGATATGATGGATACAATCCAAGAACAGTGGGAACGGTGGCTTGATTGGTTTTTGGGGAGATGCCTCAGTTCAGTCAAAACTGCGCTATTGTCACATAATGGAATTGGAATATGATAAAACAAAAACAAGAGGGAAACTCATCACAGTCATTGTTATTGTGAATGTTGCTGTCAGTTAATACTGGTGATACTGGTTATAGTGGTGATCTGCCTGCTCCTGATGACGCCAGGATCAAACTACGTGAGATTTATGTTTTTCAAGATGGTCACTGTGTCAGATTAGATGATTATAACCAATCACTTGGCTAGTCTTTCTGTCAGGGTCCGTCCATTGTCTTTCCCCTATGTCAGGACATTATTGGGCTGATATCAGACGTTCGATCGCTCGACCTTGCTGCGGACCTGCCTCTGTTTGTCCGTACTCACCATGTCTCCCAGGTGGTTCATCCCCATCTCGTAGGAGTGAATGCCCAGCGCTGCCTCCTGGTTGTGGGCCTCGATCATGCGCATGTTCTTCTCCCAGATGGCCCTGCGGATCCCCTCCTCATCCTGAATCAAACAAAAGTACGGGTGTCAATTTTTTGTCAAATTCAAAAAACAAAAACTGAACAGAACATAAAATGAGATTAGCTGCGTAAACCCCTGTGATGAACGCGTTCAGGCTGCTGAAAGGAACAAACAGCTTTTACATCTGGTCTCATGAACATCTGAAATAAACACCTGGTAAATATGAAGTGATCGCACAATAATTCCTGACAGAATCACCTGAGGGCGTCATTTAACACATGAGAGTCTTTCAGTGGATTATGGGATCAGTTTTCAGACAACTGAAGGACTGAGGCTCCAGCGCCTTCACTGGGTCACAGTTGCATGCTGGTCCTTCTCACCTGACACATATGAACTTCATAACAAATATTCCTCTGTCACCTATACCTCAGTATTAAATTTTATTTCCATCCTTTCACTAACACTTACTTCGCTAACACCTGACAGCTGAAAGAAAATGAATCTGGGCAAATAGGGCAAATTTACATTTTAATTAGCAAAGACAGAAAGCTGCCCCATTTCATTAATTAGGCCAATTAAATCAGTGCACACACACACACACACAACAATCTTCTCTAGTGCAGCTTGTGTACAGCAACAAATTTGTCCAGTTCTATTGAAACTTATGTTTATATTTACATCCCTTCACCACCACGTGTGGCTGAGAAATATCTGTGTGAGAGTAGGACTTTATATTTATATGATGTCAGTGCTGCTTAAACATTATATACATGCAATGTGAGAATGAGATACATTCTCATGGTTGGTTACCTAAAAACATCCAATGCTCTGCTTAGTATTCATGGTCTTAACAACCATTAGCATAACTATGATCATTATTTCTATCCTTTCCAGTAATGGAAAATGCAAATCATGCGAGGAGACTGATTCTATTACATTGATGTCAGTTCAAGGAAGGTTGAAGTGGTGGAGGAATACTGATTAAAGAGAGAGAGAGAGAGATGTGTTGTCTTTTCTGCTGACTACGCGTGGATATAAATAAACACCCACGTAATCATCATATGAATGCACACACATATGAAAATTAATAAATGCATGATGTCCACACAGAAACAACATCCTGCGCATGAACCACAGGAACATGCAGGACTGTAGATAAACTGCACACACACACACTACACACACACACACACACACACACTACACACACACACACACACACACACACACACACACACACACACACACACACACACTATACAGCTGCAGAACTGGTGACCTCTGGCTGGAGGTGAATAGTGAAGGGATAACAGATGCTCAGCGAGCGCCCAGGAAGTACATTTGCAGTCGGCTCTGCTTTAACACCAGATAAACTACATTTCCTTCCCTTTTCACAGCCAGGAAATAAAACACATAAATAAATAATTTTTTTCTTTAAAAAAAAAAAAAATAGAGTCTGGGAAATTTTAGAGACAATGAAACTGAAACAGTAAACCTGAGTCACAGGTGAGAGGAATTTCCACCATTCCACTGACATTTGTGGCAGCTGGTCATGGTTAGATTGCCAGTACAATATCAAAACTAATGGCTTAAATTAAAAACTAAATCATCAAGCAAGGATGAAGCATCACCATGAGATTTAAGTTGATAAACCTGAGGCCCTAATTCTTCCTGGTGAATCCAAGTAAATAAAAAGATGAAGAAAAGTGGGTCTACAGCCTTTTGAGAATGAACTTTTGTGAATTACTGGCTAAGGATGAGAAAGATGAAGAAAAGTAAATTCTCATTGTGCATGTCCTGCTTTACTTTTAGCTACTGCGTTCTCTAACTCCATCTGTCTTGTTTCCACTCCGGGCCAAAACACGGAAGTAGAGCAACCAGTGCCGGCCCCACATTTGTCGCTTTTCCAGTCGACTGTGTTTCCCTCAGCGTTTACAATACACAGCCTGGCTATGGAAAACATATGCTGTAAAGATTCACACTTAATGATGTTAGATAACACTCTAACTTGTAGTGAGGGAGTAGCTGCTTTGGGTTGTGGACAAATCGTACATACAGTACAGTAGTAGTGCATGTAGTATCTTATAATAACTTAAAGCCACCTGGATAATGCCACAACATGTGGATGGTGCAAGCATCAACAAAATGTTCACTGACAACAGGTTTAATTTAACTTTTTGTTAAGGTTAGATAAAGATCACAGCCTTTTGTCAATTGCTGAAAGAGTCAGAAGTGACTTAGGGTTATGATACATGTTTATGGTCCCTGGCATCAAAGTCCTGCACTTCATTTGTCTCTCATTGTCTCCAATCACCTCCTGAAGAAGCTTCCTGAACTACTAAACATGTTACCAGGGAAAATAATCATGGCAGCAATGTTATTTCTTTGCAAAAAAATAATTGGGAAAAACAAATTCATGGTCGGACTATATAAATGGAATTTATTGGAGACACTAATCCACTATTTGTTGGTGCACTTTGGCTTTAGGGAAAACTTTCAACTTTCAAGAAAACACTCAACAGTAGATATTCCTCGTTACCAGTTGAACTATATAACGACCTAGACATGGACTATTTTTGCCTCTGCAAATACACCAGAAGACAAAACAATTCAGGTTTTCCAGTTGGTGCTAACGTCACAAAATCAGTCAATATGCTGATGATGCACTATTATTCACTCAAACACCATGAATAACAATAGATGCACTTTGACAGTCTGAAACATCTTTTATAATACTTTGTGGCCAAAATGAAATAGATAAAAATCCCAGTGCAGTTTTTCAGTTGTGCAAATAGAATTTATGAAGTAACAATTATCCACTGAATGACCTTCTCTACCTCTGTAATCCTAATGTTTTAAAAACAGTCTAACTTTTCCTCTCTCTCATCTGGACCAATGGTATATCTTGCTGTTTTTATTGTGTTGATTTTACAGTCAACAATAAATCCCTACATCTGCTCTAATCTTTGAAATGAAAAAGGGATGACGAGCTATTTTGATAATTTCATTGACAAAATTAGCATTCATGTGACACTGAACGCCAGCAAACAGACAGAACAATAAAATGCGGCAGATGGAGATTTGGAAGTGACGTCAAGTTACTTCAAACTCAAACAGGGAACATCTGCTTTGTTTAATGTTCTCTCCGCAGGTCGGCATCCTCCCAAATAAATGTCCACCAGACAGCAGAGAGAGAGAGAGAAAGAGAAAGAGAGAGTGGAGCCCAACACTGAACTGACTGGCTGATAAATTGAGTCAGATGTAGACAGACAGTGAGTCAAACACAAACATGTCCATGTTGAGCAACTCACTGAAGCACAAACAGAGAGAGTGAGAAGAGGGAACAAACAAAGCTTGATAAGAAGAGATGGAAGATAAATACACAGACTGCTATGAAACAACTGAGACCCGAGCTGTAATGAAACTTTGACATCGTTCCCCATTAATGTCACTATGATCTTTCCTTCTGTCACTCTGTGCCCCCCGCGCCCCCCTTGTCCTGACTCTTAAATAAACTTCCTTTATATTGGTTTTGTGCAAAATCCCACCTTGGACTCAGAGCTGAATTTATGGTAATGAAATATGAATCTTAACCACACACACACACACACACACACACACACACAAGTCCACAGAGTCATTGAAGTGTGCAATTTATAAATTAATACATGTTGTTTTATCTCTTATCTTTCCTTTTCACTGTCCAGCAGTTGTGCAATCATGTTTTCTCCAGCTGAAGAAAACATCCAGAAAAACCAAACGACTGTCGATACAGAAGAGTAAGTTTTGAGAGGTGGAAACATTGTGGTTTTAGATATAAGCACCAAATGTTTGTTTGTTTTTTTAATCCTACTAGTCATGACAGATAGTGTCATGAATACATTTCCTTTTGACCTTTGTTGGCTTTGGAAGTCTCTACCTCTTATGTCAAACTTGAAAAATCGTTTTTTTAATCTAAACAACATTTTATATTGGACTCTTTTATGACATTTTCTTTTGTGGTTTTCAATCTTTATCTCCACACTTCTTCCTGTTGATTTCTACTTTCATTTTAAAGCCCTTTGCCACTTCCTGTGGACTAAAGTAAGTAGACAAAGTAAATAGACACTCACCAGGCCATTGTACTCTTTCCTGTGTGTGATCTTCCACTGCTCCCACTGGGCGTCCAGAGAGGCTTCATCCAGATGACCCAGAGCTGAGGCCGCCAGCAGCACCACGCACACAAACGACAACATCCTGGAAGAATAACACACACACACACACACAACTTCATGTTTTACATATACACAACAAACCAGTGCTCAAGTACATGTGAGACCTGTATCAACCTTTATACTAAGAGTTGGGAGCTGGCTGCAAGAGTCAAACCTGCTTCACTAAATAAAATATGAAATGAAACATTACTTGTATTGCCCCATTGCTTTGTATGGGATTCTGTGGAGTGGACCGATAGCATGCTACTCTGGTTTTTATTTCCATGGAAACCCTCAAGCAGCAGATTTTGGACAAAATACTTGCAGAGCAGTCCAGCGGTCAATGGCGCAAACCAAACAACTGCTGGACTGAGACCAGTTTCCACATAGCCGGGAATAAAATTCTGGGGAAAATACTGAACTCATTATTGTGGATTTATATTTTGTTTTGACATAAATACGATGGATACCAAAGATATCAATACCAGCCCCACTATGAAGAATCATATTAACAAACTTTTTTCTTGTGTTTGAAAAAGTTCCTTTGCTGGTATCATCTGGGATTTAGAAAAAAAATCTCTGTGCACTTTTAACTCCACACTTCAAAAACCCTTCGCTGCAGTCTGAACCTTTACTCCAACCTTTGCTTCTCTCTGTTTTCCGTCCATCTGTCATGTATCAGCTTCTCCCTGCTGTTTTCCTACATCCTGCTTCTAATCTGCATTTGTACCCGTCGCTTCCAGTAAAGGCCGCTGACCTGTTGAGTTTAACAAAACTAGCAGAAGCAGAGAACAAAAAAAAAAAAAAAAAAGTTTCCTTCAACTTTGAGGGCTGTGTAAAGTGAGCTGCTTTACATTCTCTGCTTCCTACACACCAGGATTATGTCTACCAAGGCTTCACCCTTGGGTGATTTGAACTAAATGTCTTGATTTACATAGCAGGGTCTCATGATCTGTATGCAAATAATTTACAGTTTACCTAAACCCGAAACAGTGTGTGCACAGTGAGTCATAGGAATTCTCCTGGTGACTGTTTTTCTGCAGGTTTTAGAGATGGATTTTTACAGAAAGCATCATTTTTTTGTGATCTTATCCTTTCACATGTCTCTTTTTGTAATTTTCCATGAACACTCTCAGTTTAGGCTGCAGCTCTGACTTCCCAAAAATCCTTCTATTAAGAAATGGTGCAACTGGGTCAGAATCATTCTCTAATCCTAGTCCTATTAAGACTGATTACTTTCTTAGATGGAAAAATACTTATGAGTTTATCAGAGCCTGGATTCAAAGGAAGGAAATCTTAAGAGTTAAAGTCCTTACTAGGAAATTAATGCCTGTAATAAAAGTGAGTAGCTCAGTTCAGCTCAGTCACACATAGGTTAGTTTACCTTTAGTGCAAAACATTAGTTGTCCTTTCTAACTCTGATTTTTACTAACAATATAAATTCCCCTGCGTGAGAGAAGAAATGAACAAAACTGAAAGTAAAACTCTGCACCAGGAAATCACCAAGCAATAAACTTTACCTTTCGTCCAAAGTTAAAGAGTTTCAGTGAAGTCCTGTGAGTCTGACTCCGTCTTCCTCTGCTGACAAAGTAGGTCAGTGTGTGAGTTTATATGGGTTTGGATTTTGAGGAAGTAAAATGGGAGCTCCAGGTCTTGGGGAGGAGTTTTTTTTTTCCATGGAGGGTAGTCACATCTGGTTTCACTCAAACTGCAACAATCCTCTAAACCAGATGATGTCAGGTGTCAGATTACACCTCTGAAAACTTCACCGAGGCCGAGCCCTGCACTCTGCTGCAGTCTGGGCCACAGTCCCTGCATTTTTAATAAAAACAACTTGGATTTTTTTCCCCATTCAAACCTCAGACATCACTTGGATTATTTATAAGACCATTGTCAAACATGAGGAGGAGCTTTGTTCTTGGATTTTATGCAAGTTTTAACTTGAAAGTAGTTCGTACTGCAAAATAACTAGTAACATTACTAATGAGTGCACTCTGTTTATAGGATAACCAGTTCCCGTGTCTTCGTGTTGTGCATGCAGACTCACTACCGAAACGTCTGCACCAGAAGAAGCTTCACATTCAAGTTCTGTAATAAACCTCCAAAGGAATTTCTGTTTTCTGTAATGAATAAAGAAATAAACTCTGTAGCAAGGCTTTTAAAACCGCATGCACCATAAGCAGAGAACCAACATCTTCAAAGTTCATAGATGAAATATTAATGGGGGTATTATTTTTTTTATTGTTCTTGTTTTTTTCATGCTAATGTGAAACATTGAGTGAAACACAGATCAAAAACCATGTGGGTAGAGGGAGTAGAAAGCATCACAAACCAGTTTTTTTGTGTAATATGATTGTCCACCATACACTCTGATAGTTGGAAAGGCTGATGTACATCCATTCTTTAGTTGTACAGGGCAAGCAGAGAGCAAGCGTTAATGTACCATCAGTCAGTGATTTTTGAAGTAGGTAAGTTTACGAAGCCTTTATTAGAGTATTAGTCTTTGAAACCTGCTGTAAAACAATATTCGTCTAACACTTTGTCTGAAGGAGAACTGAGAAGTGCTTTCATCTTCAGCTGTACATTGAACGGTGTTGCGTTATTAAACAGAGTTTCCCAGGCCAGAGCCATAATTATTCTCTGTACCATGTCGTCTGCTTATTGGTGGATGCACTTCCTCTTGCACTTAGTCAACGGCCTAATGTGTCAGGTCTGCGTGTATATATGAACATGTCATGTGACTCACACAGCAGTCTGGCACATGTAGTCACCCGTCTAAATATAAGAGCATCCCGTGTACCTCATATGTCCAATGATACATGGCTGTGTTGCAGCAGATTGCTCATTCATGTAATCTGAACTGAAATAGAACATGCGTATATAGGTGATACTTGTTTTTTCCAGCGCACACAGACTTGACGTCATGTTTCCCACAATGCCATCAATGTTTTATGTTTTAGACGATATCAATAATGTCGATAAAGTTTCGAGATGTGAACAAAAAGGCAATGTCAGCCATAACATTTGGTATCAGTTCATGGTCCCCAGGGGAGAAGACTCCAATCAATATTTGTGACACCTCTTTCTTTCAGCATCGACCGACATGTGAGCGACAAAGTATCTCAAACACTTTTTTTTTCCATAAAACTCGATGTGGATGTTCATGATCCAGAGAAGATGAATCCTAATGACTTCTCCTGTGGCACCAACATCAGGCTAAAACCTCCAATTCTTTACACAAGAAACAATCAGAATCTAATGATCAGATATTTTACAGAGATATTTTACACATTCATGCTCCTCAGAGGACGAACACATTTCATTTTGGACACTCAAACATGTGTTTTCTGTGCTGTATAAATAAACTTCACTCGTACCAGAGTGTGAGATATGCTCACAAGCTACTTCACATATACACTCACAGAGCACTTTATTAGGAACACCTGCTTATTCAGAAGGTTATCTAATCAGCCAATCAAGCAGCAGCAGCGCAGTGAATAAAATCCTGCAGATATAGGTCAGGTGCTTCAGTTATCTTTTTCATTGCACTGTATATTGAGCTATTGCTGAACAACTGGGACAAGTGTAAAACACAGTGTAACGGTGGTGCAGGTAGAGAAGAGTCATGGAGTCAGCCATCACCTTCCACTGGTCACACCAGACCATAGATTCAGTGTGTCAAACTGAGCGAGGATGCACTTTAATGGTCTTTAATAATAACTTTAAATTTGCAAAAGCAAAAATGTTTTATTTCATCTTACAAAAGTAACACTTTAGCTTTATCATACACTGATTTTGTAAAAGAAAAACTGAACAGTCAACATGTTGTTTGTTCCCAGCACTTTTCATAATGTGGGGAATNCGAGGGGAGAAAAAAAAAAACGCAAAGTGATCAAAAAGTTGTTGTTGTTGTTGTTGTTGTTTGAGTCGCTCTTGTGTCACACACTGAACTTTTGCTGTATATTCTACAAATAAGGAAAGACAAAGTTGAAATAATAGAATCTGGAGATGAGATAAATTATTACATTTTCTTATTTACATTATTTACATTTTACATTTATAACTTTGCCTCCTCCACTCAGACTAGTTTCAGGTTACATCCCTGTTCATCCAGAGTCATATTAAATATAAAATATAAATATATATATATATATACGTATATTTTGTCATAATTGCTGTGAAAGTCAAAAAAGTGTTGTGTGTGG